ATCCGCTTTATAATGACAGTGGAAGAAGGCCGACATTGTTATCCTCCACACACCAATGCAATAGGATGAGCAGGAATCTGGATGCATATTTTTTTGGTGACTTCAGAGCCTTGTTTGTTTTCTTCGGTGAATTTAAAATGACTGCCTCTCTTGGGCTCATAATCAAAAGGAATGTTATGCCATGAACAAATCCTCCAAACAGGGAATACAACATTTACTCGGACAGAACGAAAGCAGATGCTCTTCAGCACGTCATTTCTGACAAGACATGAAGATCAGTAAAATAACATTATCGTAGCTTTATCCAAGGTTTTCCGATATAGGATGACGAGCCAGCTACACAATAAAAACGAAATAACGGATTGCAAAATCACGAAAACCCCTCACCCTGCTGACGGTAACCAAGAAAAAGCAAAGGGAAAACTGGACATTAATGCAAACTCTTTTCATAAAGCCTCTAATCACAGATTATCATCTGAGATATGAGAGTGATGGATTGACATTTTATTTTTCAAATATTGAAATTATTTGCTATGTTTTGTTATATCAAGAGCGACCTTGTTCAGGGAATTGTATAGCTCATAGAAAAACGTCGATGTGAATGAAGCATGCACTGTTCCCCATTATCCATAGGTAAAACCAAGAATTACTGTTGGCCTATATTTTGCTCAATGGTTGGATAGAGACAGTTGATAGTCATACAATTCAGGGCTAAAAAGCTTACAGTAGCCTCCATGCCACATTACAGAGCATCCCAGGAATTGTAGGCTAAAGTTCATTTGCTGAAGTTATTTGTACCCTCAACTGCCTGTAATCAGGAAAGGCTATTTCTCAGGTTATTGAATTACAGATCAGTCAAAACAATATGGGGAGTGACAGTGAGCTCTACAACAGAGACTTGTCAAAGATGTCTGACGAGGATTTACTCTTCTGCTCTAAAGAAGAGCTGGTGAGTCGACTGCGTAAAGAGGAGTCAGAGAAGATCTCCGCTCTTATCCAGCGTGGACGGCTGATAAAAGAAGTTAACAAACAATTACAGGGACCACCTGCTTGAGATCAGGGAGCTGAAAACCGTCAACCAGCGTCTCCAGGAAGAAAACACAGAATTGCGCGACTTATGCTGTTTTCTTGATGATGACCGACTAAAGGTGAAGAAGCTGGCCCGGGAATGGCAGCTGTTCGGTCACCATGCAGCCAAAGTGATGCGTGAGGATCTGGGCGGCTACTTGAAAAAACTGGCTGACCTAGAGCGCATGCAGGATGGATTGGTGAAGGAGAATCTGGACCTCAAAGAACTCTGTCTGGTCCTGGAGGAGGAATGTGTCAGCAGGAGTGACTCCAGTCCCGGTGGTTCCACTGAGCTCAACCTGCCGTGCATGGTGTCCCGAGACCTGGGAGATGGAAGTTCAAGCACTGGGAGCGTCGGTAGTCCGGACCAGCTCCACCTGGTGTGCTCACCTGATGACTGAAGATGGGACAGAGCCGGATACTTTCACTGAGTAGTGAAAGAGCACTATACAGAGAAATATTGGTTGAGGAAATATGTTTAATTGTTTACAGCATTCATTGGTAGAACACAAGCTTTGTTGGGATACTTTTTAGAAGATAGCCTATAACACACAATACAGCAGCGTCTCCAGAATAGCAGCCAATTATGTGCCTTCTGCACGTGCTGCTGTCCTAAAGAAAAGTTGAAAAAGGACCCCCCCAAGAGAAAAGAAAAATGCTTTTTCCTGGAAAGAGGGATGACAGGACCAGAAGAAACATTAGAGACTAAAGGTCACGCTTTATCGAATGATCATTTCGCAATTTTATGCATTTTTTTTTTACAATCTTTTGGGAGGTTTTCCTCTTTTCAGTAATTGAGACTGTATATGATTAACAGTAGCAGGTGTTGTTGGAAGGAGGTCAGGTTAGGATGTTATCTCATGCACTGGATTGTACTGGGAGTGGACTACTTTGTACTGTATTGCACTGGAACAAAGCTATCATATGGGACCTTGTAGATTCATATCTCGATCCAGCCCTACTAGTCTACTGTACATGACATCCAAAAGCACTGAAACATTTGATGGATGAGTGATGATTTTTGTGACAGACCTTTAAATACAATTTAAATAATGTAGATTATGCATTCAGTCCCTCAGGTCAGGATTGGAGTGCTGTGTGTATGAAATCACAAACGTAACAATGAAATTGTCTATTATGAACACTGTCTTGGCTGCCCATGAGTTTTACACTGAAATTGCACAAGAGACATAGCTAGTGTGCCACAGTAATTTAGGCTGTACAATACACAAAACTTTGTGATGGCACCTGCACCTATGATAGCGTTACTTAGACCTCACTCACAACTGAACTGCCCAGGCTGTTCTCAACCAGCCACTTTTGTGTCAAACTGTAAGCTCAAGACTGGATTTGACATGATGATGGATTTATAGATGCTGGGAACTAGACAAGACACTTTTATTTTGTTCTTTATTACATTATTATTGTTAAGATTATTATAATTATTACAACTGCTTCACATTTTCTGTGTAAATTGCCAATAGTCAGGATCCCAATGTAATGTTTTGTGGTAATTCTGTAGATATACTCTCTCATTGTCTTCATTAACTTGACATATCAGTATTACTTCATTAACCAATACATATTTATGTTTTAAGCATATAGAACATTCTCATGGATTGGATAAGATTTGCTTTGTTGTTGGCTGTGATTGGTGGGCTGCTCGTAGTGCATTGAAGAGCTTTAAATACACTGGCTGAGACACTCAATCATGTTGTGACCTTTCTTTGTGTGTGTGACTTTGCAGAAAGACATTCATTTTACATGGTGCAACATGAGTGATTGATTGATCTCTCAACCTGTTTGTTATGACCTATTTGTCCCAGACTGCAGATGATTGATATTCCTGTCCATGTCATACAGCCTGGCATTGTGGATATTTATCAGTTTTATTTTTTGACCTCTGTTTGCGCAGTGGACGGTAATGCTTTAACCCACTTAGTGATACACAGAGAGCTCCTTTGACAGAGAGTAGCACACATAGGCTCTCTCTCTCTCTCTCTCTCTCTCTCTCTCTCCTAAACCCCCTTTTTATTATCATTGCTATAATATGCTCTCTGGGCCTCCTGTGAGTGAGTGACTCACTTCATTTGCGAGAAGTACAGTAACAACAGAACTCTGTGTTCAGGAATCAGGGTCATGGTCAATAGATCTCCATTTACCAGACTTTATTAGGATCTACTCCTCTACTTTTCCTGAATCCCTCTAACTGTAGTCCAACGTTACTACGTTTTGGTCTCTGCCAGGGAAAAAATCCAAAACATGACCTCCCATTCAATCAAAAACCCAGATGTCCCATTCTGACCTCATTTTCTTGCTCGGTATCTTTCTTATTCAGCACATCTGAAACGTTAATTTGTGGTATTCTTATCTGTTTGTATCGAAGTCAGTTATACAATTCTTTCCAGAGAGGAAGCAGAGAGGTAATGGCCAGCTTTCCCCTCCCTTTCCTCCCCAGCATCCAGCATCCTTACGTAAGGTTGCTATGCAGCGAGATCAAGCAGGAAACAGGACAGATTCAAAATGGAAACACAACTAACTAATGGGTTTAACACTAAGGATGCATTTTGTCTTCTTTTTAACCCTTTCATACTGATATTTTAAAGCTTAGAAATTGCTTGAACATACTGATGCAAATATCATAAACATACATCACCAGTTACACATCCATAACGTTGTCTTTAAATTATCTTTATTGTACAGTGAAGGCACTGCCAACCACCCACACATCAGTCAAAAGAGACACATTATAAAAAATATACTACACTCTCAACAATAAATACATGTCTATATATTCTATATTTACTCCCATGGTCCTGCCTTAGTGTCTTTCAAATTTTCTCCAAATAATGCCGTTTTTCATAAATAAATTCTATTGTACTAAAGATACAATATGAGAAGTAGCTGTATGCATCTTTTATATAAAGATAGCTAGCACACATTAAAGTTTACATAAAACCTGGCATGCACATATAATTATCCTCAAACAAACCCAACATGTTTATTACCATGTACTACCATGTTGTTACAGGTAATAAAGGCAAGTGTTCATACAGAACATTTACATTTACGTCATTTAGCAGACGCTCTTATCCAGAGCGACTTACAAATAGCGTAATGCTTCAGTAGATTGATGTGGTTCCTACATTACAAATGTAGCATTATAAACTGGGTAGTTCGAGCCCTGAATGCTGATCGGCTGAAAACCATGGTATATTCAGACCGTATACCACAGGTATGACAAACATGTATTTTGACTGCTCTAATTACAATGGTAACCAGTTTATAATAGCAATAAGGCACCTCAGGTATTTGTGATATATTGCCAATATACCACGGCTAAGGGCTGTTATTATGCACGATGCACAGTCCTTAGCCGTGGTATATTGGCCATGTGGTATATTGGCCATATACCACACCCCCTCGGGCCTTATTGCTTAAATAATCACCATTATTGCCAAAGTGCACTGAGTTAATGCATTTTGTTTGCACATTTGCACAATTCTACATCTTGGGTTTTGATCATAACAAATATAGGTTGTCAGAGGTTATATGCATCAGGGAAAACAAAAAAATTGTGTAACAATACAATCCTTTAAATATGAGTCATTCGCATCACCATAATGTTTTTTGTGAGTGTCAGTATGTTAGCTTTTGTGTGTATTTAGTGTGTAGGGGCTATTTGGAAAGTGTAGGCACAGAGGAAATGAAGTGGACCAGCTGCATTTAGCGTATCATTACTGTCGTTATTAAAGTCACCTATGTTGTTGTCATAATCGTCATCATCATTGTCGTCATCTTCATAACCGTCAGTGTTGTAACTCAGTCTTTCCCACCAAGGAAGCCTGTTAAATCACAGTGTGATGATGGTAGGGGAGTTTAGGGAGTGATCGGATTGGTCCCCACTGCTGCTGCTACGGCGATGGGCAATACTACAGGGCTGGGGGTTTCGAGACTGCTGGGTCCACACCATGTTGAGAGGAAGATGACAGAGTGGCTAGAGCCTGGGATGAAATAGTGGAACTGGAGTCTAGAGAGCCAGAGGGATAACTGAAGACCAGACTAGCTGTGAAAGGAGTAAGAGATGGAGTAGAAATAAGAATTGGGGTGTGAAGGGACTCAGATTCCATGGGGACAGCAGAGGCAGAGGAGGTCACAGTACGGACAGGGATAGTAATTTTAGGTTTGGGCTTCTCAATCCTTGATTGGCTCTTTGCTGAGCTCCCTGGTAGGTCAGAAAGCTCAGGCTCAATTTTGATTCCTCCCAATGAGGGAAGCTCTGAGCTCTGGTCAGAATCCGAGTCAGAGTCGTGGATCTTGCAAATGGGGCGGTGGGCCTCTAGAACCAACTCTAGCTTTTCTTTCTCCTTCTGTAGTTCAGCAATCTCCTTCTCCAGACAGGACTTTCTACCTTCCAACTCGTCTGTCTCCTAAGAGAGGGAAAATTAAAGAGAAAAGATTAGGGTTGTATTGTCAATCTATTCTTTTTCAATTGGTAGAGAAATCCAGTAGTTGATGATTTACAAACTTTAAAATATATATGTTTATCGCCCTCCTGAAATAAAATACAACTTACGATTTGCAGCGTGTCTGTCAGCTCACGTCGACGGTTCCGACACTTGGCAGCTGCCTGTTTGTTCCGCTCTCTCCTTATTCTGCGTCTCTCCAGCTCCTCTGGGGACAACTAAAGTGAGAGAAAGACATTTGATGAGGCAGAATTATGACTGAAAAAAGTTGTAATATGTTTTACAACTCAATTGAATAAAGGGACTGGACTGAATAGCAGATGACTGTAAAATGTGTTTAGCGTGGTGAAATACTACCACCTTGTGTATAAACTGAGTCACTACATTCAAACTTTCAAGATTGCCCTTAATTTCGTAATGTCGGAGCCTTTTGTCATTTTGTTACGCCCTTTTTCCAATTTCATTTAACATTGTCAGTTCTCTGTTTCTGTTCATCCAATTTCTCCCGCCCCGTATTGTGATGAGTCACTCAGACCCCAATTGTGACTCAGGTATGAGTCATATGACTTGCCCCAGTGAATCACATGATAGCCCATTTCCTGTCCCATCAAATTTCAGCTCACTCAACCACACATTCTAAAAGTGTAACAAAGCCAACAGGTATGAAAATAATCTACTCTCAAGGAAAACAAAACCTACTAGTAGTTTAACTACTTGATGTCTTGCCATCTTACATTTTGTGAACCCGCTCGTGTCAGATATATTTTGGCTCAAACAGGTTGATAGAAGCTCTCATCCTTTCGAGCACTAAGCCAATGTCACACTAATATCAAATGAGTGGCTTATCTCAAACAATGATGAAGCAGGTCAGTGTACATAGCTGTTCCAAAGTACATAGTTGTCAACCAAAACAAATGCGTGGTCAACCTCTGAATTATCTGGAATTTCCACATTTTCGCAAAAATCTATACCGTTCAAAAGAAAGCTCTCAGGAATATTTGTTTCTGTAATTTTGTTTTCAACCTATCAGATAAGACGGGTGTGTGGTGAAATCTCACTGCCATGTCAGACGTATAAGTCAGTCACACACATTACAGGATATTACACACTACTGACACACTGACTCAACTGTCTGTCTCTACACCTCTGTGAAGTCTGTAGTTTCCCTGCCCCTCTCAGTCTCACCGGAGCACTTCTAATCCTCTCAGTAGTTTCTTTATTCAGTGTAGCACTATTAATAAGACAACTACATGGAAAAGGGCCTGCTAAAGTGTCCCTCTTCAAAGACAACCACATCTTCCAAATCTAAATGTAGGTCTATGTTGTGTTAAGTGACCTTACATTTCATCTGCATTTTGGTCAGATATCCACCCACATTCTGGCACAATGCCTACCTACATTTTGATTGACTCTGAAAGTAAATTACATAGTATTACACCCTGCTGGCTAAAGACCACACATATTCTTACATGTTCATCGTTCCTGCGTCTGGTTGTGCTCCCGGATCTTGCCGCTGCCCTTATGACCCCTGGTCTGTAGAGGTGTGGTTGGGAAGGTGAAGGGTTGAAGGACCTCATTCCTGCTGCAGGTGGGTAAGGAGGACGTGGAGGCCGTGAGGGGCCAGGTGGGTAAGGAGGACGTGGAGGCCGTGAGGGGCCAGGTGGACCGATGAGGGAGGGCTGGACCAACCACTGGAGGTCTTGGTTGGAAGTGATGGCATTGAGACTGGGGACAAACTGGCTGCCTCCTGCCACAGTGAACTTCTTAAGAGAAAGAGAGAGAGACAGTAAGAGAAAGAGATGGTAAGGATGAGGTTAGAGTAATGAGATGGTGGATAAACTAACAAACAAAGTGATTTACAGCAAAGCAATTCTTTTGAACCAGATATTTGACATGGGCAATGGACATCCTATGCATGCATTTGACATGGATATATGCGTGCATCCGGATGTAAAGGCAACAATCTTGACAAAGACGGTGAGCATTGAATATAAATGGTTAAATCCATTATGTGTATCAATTCATCAGACAATGGTAATCAAACTGCACCATGGCTATAACACAATTATTAGCCTAGTACATTTCTTATGTCCATATTATGCCATTAATTCCTTATTATTACTACATTCTGCAATTAATATGATTAAGCAATATCATAATTATTGAGAGGGGAAACTGTACACAAAAATTATCATTTATTACTCTTGCTAATCTTTATCAACATAGACCAATATGTGTGCCTACCTGATCTTGTTGAGTAGTTGTGGCGCTGGTGCCCTGGGATACAGCGCTCGATCCGGTGTGGGGGGACCTAGAGTCGCTGCCTCCTCGGCCCAAGTTCCCAAAGTTTCTGTACATCTTTGATTGTAAACTGCTATCCCGATTCCCGATGAGCGCAAAGTAATCCTGAGGAGTTTTATGAAGAGCAAGCGATGACGTGAATGAAGCGTTCGGGTAAAGCTTCACGTTCACTATTCAAACGTGGGGCAAACCCTCCTTAATGCTGGATGTTGGTAGGATCCAAAAAGAAAGGGGAAGAAGAAAACTGCGAATGTAAATCTTGTTCTTGTGTATGACTAAATTCTCCCAAATTCATTTGAATTACTTCTTACGTAGAGATCATTCCAGACGGACTGAAAAGTATAGAGTGATCGTGGAATTATAAACGCCCAAACCGATTCTATAGTTATTTTACGCCCCTCCCAATTTACTGGAAATGGTGGTGTCTGGGTTTTCGGCTTGTAACTGACCAAGTGCGGATGACGTATGTGAACATATATGGTGAGTTTCCTCCAGAGAGCGACCCGGGATTCCTCAATTGACAGGAGTGGAAAGCATGCTCTCATTGAATTCTACAAGTTTCTGCTCATATTCATTTTTACCATACAACTTTTTAAAGAATCTATCCAATCGTGTTTTATGAAAATGAATCATATCACAGAAACATAGCCTTCTGTCTATAATAATAGAGTATTGTCATTCATTATACATTTACATTTTAGTCATTTAGCAGACGCTCTTATCCAGAGCGACTTACAGTTAGTGAGTGCATACATTTTCATACATGGTGTTGGTTGTATCCTACTATTTATTTAATAATAATATAATTATAATAATTTAGGAAATTGGGCTATTTGATAGGCTAAGTACGCTATTTAAATGATTAGACTGTGTTAACTATTGATGAAAGAACAGAATGTCTTGAGGTTTGGCCCTTAGTTTGGGTACACTTTCTTCTCTAGACCACATCAATCAAGGGAACTCTGACTGTAGGAGGTGAGTCAGCGGAAAGCCACTATGTTGATGAATTATTTCATCGTTTCAACACTGCCAGTAGCCGGCGGTTTTCTATGTAGTCTACCGTCAAAAGCTTAATTAAAAATGCTAAAATGTACCGCGGTTTCTACAGTAGTGGCTGAGATGCCACTAAACAGCTGCAGTCCCTGCTCTCACTTATGGATCTATTGGGCTTGAGTTCCCGACATGGTTGACTCATCTGTTGTGAATAACTGACTACCAAGCGTTATTGAAACCAATAGGCCACTGTAGGATCCGGTTGCATCTTATAACAGGTTGTCTCTTAGGATATAGAGTAAAATTGGATTTAATTGTGTTCAAAATAAGGCTAAAACTATTAGTAACATTCATTAGCACACATTTACATGTATTGAATATACAGTGAATCATGACTGTTGTATCAGCATCTTTATCATTTGAGCCATTTTGCTCGTAGTGTTGTTTTATCACTCACCACCACCATTATAATGAGATTACAGCGTTGAGTGAATGTAAAATATTTTCCTTTCAGCATGGCATTTGTGTCTTATGCATCACAGTGACCGAATTACTACTGCCACCTAATTCTTTAAAAGTGTACTTTGCCTGTGTTATTTCTCTATTTCAATGGAGGACATGTGCTCCTCTCTCTCTGGGGTGTAACCATAAGGATGTGACACCTTATCACATGGTTGAGTGTTGAAGGAGAGTATAGGGGGGGTGAAGATGACGTCATGCCTCTGGAACGCCATGATGACACACCCTTTCTGTCTCACTATGACATGCCACAACATGCTGGCAGGCAGGGCTGTATCTTTTTTTTTTTTTTTCCTCACACCAATTGGCTCAGAGAGGCATCATTAATGCACCACAGACGTAGACTACATGTACATGCAGGTACAGTAGGCATAGTACAACCATGCACACCCACCACTTACACACCCATTCTCTTAATCCTTATATTTATTATATGCCACATTACCCACTCCCCCCCCCCATACACACACATACACAGATTTCACAGTTTGACCCCAAAGGAAACAGGGGAAGAAATGTTGGCCTAAGAGATCTACTACTGCACACTTAGATCTAATCAAAGATTAGGCTACTTTCCCTGACATGTACTGTACTGCTGAACACTGTCCTTTTGTGTATCTTTGATAAAATAATGTTGTGTTGATATGAAGTGAATTTGATGATGTATCAGATTACAAATCAAAGTGTATTGTCTCATACATAGTTTAGCAGATGTTATATTGGGTGCAGAGAAATGCTTATGTTACTAGCGCCTAACAATGCAGAAAAATGTCAAAGAAGTACACAGATAATCAAAAAATGTTAAAACAAGATGTCGGAATGATTCCAATTAACACCCTAAATAGCGCTGTAACAGTAATCCAAATGCAATCTATATGTATATGCACTGAGTGTACAAAACATTACGAACACCTGCTCTTTCCTTGACAGACTGACCAGGTGAATCCAGGTGAAAGCTATGATCCCTTATTGATGTCACCTGTTAAATCCACTTCAATCAGTGTAGATGAAGGGGATGAGACAGGTTAAAGAAGGATTTTTAAGTCTTGAGACAATTGAGACATGGATTGTGTATGTGTGCCATTGAGAGGGTGAACAGGCAAGACAAAATATTCAAGTGCCTTTGAACGGGTTATGGTAGTAGGTGCCAGGCGCAACGATTTGTTTCAAGAACTGCAACGCTGCTGGGTTTTTCACGCTCAACAGTTTCCCGTGTATTTCAAGAATGGTCCACCACCCAAAGGACATCCAGCCAACTTGACACAACTGTGGGAAGCATTGGAGTCAACATGGGCCAGCATGGGGGGGTACACATATTTTGCAGATGTTATTGCAGGTGCAGCAAAATGCTTATGTTTCTAGCTCCAACAGTGCAGTAATACCTAACAATAGAAAACAATACACACAAATTCAAAAAAGAAAAATAAAGGAATTAAGAAATATCAGAACGAGCAATGTCAGAGTCCGGAATATAAATATATCACAGGAGGCTGCTGAGAGGAGGATGGCTCATAATAATGGCCGGAACGGAGCGAATGGAATGGCATCTAACACATGGAAACCACGTGTTTGATGTATTTGATACCAGTCCACTAATTACGCTCCTGCCATTACCACAAGCCCGTCCTCCCCAATTAAGGTGTCACCAACCTCCTTTGACATATATAAATATATGTATATGATGGTGTGTATGGACAGTATATGAATAGAAAAGTTGTGTACAGCAGTAGTTATATAGAATGAGCCTTGATTAGAATATGAAGTGGGTAAAAGTATGTAAACATGATTAAAGTCACTTGTGTTCAATGACCATGTACATAGGGCAGCAGTCTCTAAGGTGCAGGGTAGAGTACCAGGTGGTAGTTCTAACCCCCCCCCCAAATTGTAAAGTGGTTATCCCACTGGCTATAGGGTGAACGCACCAATTTGTGAGTCGCTCTGGCTAAGAGCGTCTGCTAAATGACGTTAATGTGCCCTTGAGCAAGGCACTTAACCCTAATTGCTCCTGTAAGTCGCTCTGGTTAAGAGCGTCTGCTAAATGACTAAAATGTAAAATGTAAAAATGGTAGCAGGCTAGTAACAGTGACTAAGTTCAGGGCAGGATACTGGGCGGAGGCTGGCAAGTGGTGGTGACTATTTAACAGTCTGATGGCCTGGAGATATAAGATGTTTTTCAGTCTCTCTGTCCCAGCTCTGATGCACCTGTACTGTCCGCCTTCTAGATCAGGGTTTCCCAAAGCCGGTCCTAGGGACCACAAAGGGTGCATGTTTTAGTTTTTGCCCTGGCACTACACAGCTGATTCAAATAAAGCTTGAGGATGAGTTGGTTATTTGAATCAGCTGTGTAGTGCTAGGCCAAAAACCAAAAAGTGCACCCAGGAGGGACCCCAGGACCGAGTTTGGTAAACCCTGTTCTAGATGGTAGCAGGGTGAACAGGCCGTGGCTCAGGTGGCTGATGTCCCTCTTGTAAAACCGGGTGCTATAGATGTCCTGGAGGGCAGGTAGTGTGCCCCTGGTGATGCATTGGACTACCGCACCACTCTCTGGAGAACCCTGCAGTTACGGACTGTGCAATTGCCGTACCAGGCGGTGATACAGCCCGAAAGGATTCTCTCAATGGTACATCTGTAGAAGTTTGTGAGGGTCTTAGGGGCCAAGACACATTTCTTAAGCCTCCTGAGGTTGAAGAGGCGCTGTTGCACCTTCTTCACCACAGTGTTGGTGTGGTGAGACCATTTCAGGTCCTCAGTGATGTCAGTCTTTGTGAATCATGAAACGTTTGTTACATATTCAGCAGTTCCTTCGACCTAGGCTTGAGGTGTATTCATTACGCCAAATCTGTTGATAAACGTTTCGTCTGTTGCAAAATCTGCTTCAAAACGTTTTGGCACAAAACCGTTAACTCCAAATGGAAATCCTTGCTGTTCTTAAACAAGTACAACTATTTTTTCACATTTACAATTACTCACCCTGAGTCACTGTTTCAGAAGACAACATGGGCTACCTTCTATAAAACTATAGTTAGCCAAACTCTAGATGCCAATCCACCTCCTTATCCAAAGAACAGCAAGGATTTCCGTTTGAAGTAAACACTTTTTGTAGCAAAATTTTGCAACAGACGAAACGTTTTGCAACAGAATTAGCGTAATGAATACACCCTGAATCAGCGTAATGAATACACCCCAGGCCTAGGTTGAAGGGGCTGATGAATATGTAATTCACGTTTAATCAGTTTCATAATGTACTGTCTTTGGTTTAATGATTAACGAAGACTGATATCCCGGAAAACCAATCAGTGCACAGGCTGAATCTTTATTTGGACCAATAGAAGTATTTTGCTTATCCTCGCTGCCACGCAGGCACAGAGAAGACGACCAATAATAGCTAAGGTAAAGTACAAGAGGCAGGTACTAGGAAGCACCATAGTACACGTAGGTAGGTGTAACGTTTGGCTTTTTAAATAGTGAATATTGTATTTCATGAGTATGTCAGTTATTTTTTAACAGTCTGGTACATTGAAATATGTTATTCTGCTTTAATTAACTGTCAATTGTGTTCACACAGAAATGGTGGCAAAAGCTAACCAGCTCTTCAGTTAGCATTCGCTAGCTAGCCCCAGACTAGCAGCCAAGCAAGAGTAACGTTAGACGAAAACTTCTAACTAACGTTAGCTAGCTAACGTACTACTAGCCAACATTGAAACATAGCTAGCTAACTAACTTATGGATGTGAAGATCTAGCAACGTATAAAATTGCGTGGCAGCACGTTATCAAACCCAAACATTGTTTCTATTTTTAAACAGGTGTTTACAATGGACCTTCCACATCATGGCTACCGAGCAAGTGGTAAGTAGCTAGCTACAGGTTATCTATCTGCTACAGCTAACTAATAATGTAGCTCGCTAGAGTTAGGTAACGCCTCGATCATACCGACGGTATCATTGCATTTTGGTACACCAGAAGTACATTCATTTCCAATGGAACGCTGCGTTTGCCTTGCAGCATTGCGTTGCAATACGTTCTGTGTGGTGCACACGTTGGGTTTATCGAATGTATGCGTCAAACTGTATGAGTAGACGGCTTGACAGAAATGGTAGCAGAAAGTGAATGTTAAACTTTTGTTACACACAACCAGATGATGATGCATACTATTTTGTTCAAACGCTATCGGTGTGATCAAGGCGTGAGGCTTTCATTGCATCCTGCATGGCATGGATATTGTTCGTAGCTACAGGTTGCATACTCATATTGTCACGCATAATTGCCTTAGGACTGTTATGTATTGTCATACTTCACCCTAGCCCATTCATAGACACTAACTGAATCAGAATCTGTGCGTTACATGCTGACTAGACTGGGCACGCGCATGTTGATTTTGTTAATCCACCCCAGACAATATCAGGAAACGCAGGTTGAAATATCAAAACGAACTCTGAACCAACTATATTAATTTGGGGACAGCCCGAAACGCATGAAATATTAATGGCAATATAGCTAGCTAGCTTGTTGTTGCTAGCGAATTTGTCCTGGGATATGAACATTGGGTTGTTATTTTACCTGAAATGCACAAGGTCCTCTACTCCAACAATTAGTCCACATATAAAAGGGTAAACCTAGTTCGTTTCTAGTCATCTCTCCTCCTTCAGTCTTCTTCTTTGGACTTTATATGGCGGTTGACAAACAACTTTAAGGCGCATTACCACCACCGACTGGCGTGTGGCGCTCAGTTCATCTTTCAATCACACATGTGGGTATATGATCCTAAAAACCGATGGGAGAGGTGGGACTTGCAGCACGTCAAAGTTATATTTTAGCGCCTGGCTACGCAGATGCACGCGGGCAGTTTGGATGAAATTATTGAATAACATGTATGTGTACATTTATTTTGCAACGCTCGTGCACGTAACGCGAGCGGTGTGGTCAGCATGTTAGACCTCTAACGCACAGAAGGCTCCGACTCAAACTCCCATTCACCAATTCTGCAAGCGTTATAATGTCAAAATACGTTCGTTCATAACCAAATATGGAGTTTCGCTGAGTAACTATCTTAATTTACTCCTGTTACGGCCGATATGTATTTCCAAAAAAGTTCAAAATTATAATGTACATTATAAAGCTTGCAGAGCTGGTGAATGGGAGTTTGAATCTGAGCTTTCTGGGCGTTAGAGAGGTCGCTAATGCACAGATACTGGTTCAGACGTTAATTTTTTAGCGCCTATTGACGATAGTATATTCTGGTCTGGGGATAACTGCGTTGCTGAAAATTAGCTTGCAAAAAAACAGAACACTCCGCCAGAAGCCAGAAGTTAAATAAAATTCAATATCAACTTACTCTGTCAATTGTCCTTATGCAGGGGCCAATTTGAGAAAACCCCCCATCTAATGGAACTTATAATTAAACAGAATTTCCAAACGTGGGTCTATTGTAGACCCATGCAGTTCCTCAGCAAGGTCAGTTCCTCTCTGCTTACCTCATGTCAAAATAAAAGTCCCCCACAAGGTCTTGTTTTTTTTTAGGTCAGATATGACACACGTTGACATGAGATAAGCGGAAAGGAAGTTGGTCTACAACAGACCTATGTTTGGAACAGCTGTTTAATTTATGTTCTATTAGATGTTTTTTCATAATTTACCCCCTACATAAGGACTAACCCTACGGACAATTGACAGTTAGTTGAAATTGAATTTCATTTCACTTATGGCTTCCGGCGGACTATTCAGTTTTGTTTGCAAGTTAATTTCTAGCAACACTAGTGTGTAAATACGAGCGTTGCTAAAAGCAGCTAGCTGGGGGAGTTTTGTTAAGAGCCCCGATGCTTGCTCTAAACATTAAAGCACATTGCTTGCGATACGGTTTTGGAAACATAAGGAACGTATCTTTCATATCAGCAAGGAAATAATAAACAATTAAAAAATGGTTAAATTACTACACACCTTTTTTTAAAAGGGTTAGGGTTCCCACATGGCCATATTTCCATATTACAGCGCTTGTTTACGGAAAACAAATGGGAGACAGTCGACTCCCCATCTATTGAGAATCGATTCATGTTTAGAGTTTTTGGCTGCCAGAGCCAATTGGCCTCTAAACAGAACCAAGGTCCTTGGACTATAAGGAGTAACGTTAGGCTCCTTTAGTCCATTATTGGGCTAGCTCCACCCATGCCTTAAATATTACTTTCCTTATTACAATTATGTATAGAAAGTCATTTTTCACATCACATTTATTATCAATACAACATTTCTGATATGACATCATACAATACTACACTCTTACACACTACCCAATTATCCTCATCCCCATTTGTCCCTCTGTAGCAAAGCCAAGAGCTCGTGCAGCTCCACCCGCCGGGGACCCTCTCCTCTTTGAAGATACCAGTTCGGCAGCGCCACCAATGAACAATCAGGGTTACTACACCCCTGGGTACAACATGGGAGGGGCTCCAGCTGGAGGGCCAGGGGGTGCTGGGGTCAACAACCTGTTTGCTGACCCAATGGCCAGTGCAGCCATGATATATGGCTCTTCCCTGGCCAACCATGGAAAGGATATTGTCAACAAGGAGGTGAGAAAATCACACTACAGACCGGTCTCATTGTCATTAGGGTGATGGCTACGTTCCAACAAATGAAGAGTTAAATAGACTAGAGTTGCCGCTGGTGTATTGCTTATGTCTGTGGATCCTTTCAGATCCACTCGGGCATGGGATGAGGTTTTATTAATGGCCTTCAGCCAGATAGGATGGTCAGTGTAAAGCCGTGCATGAGGTAGCCACATGAGCTATAGAGCTGGTATGCATCTGTTACTTGGCTCAGTTTGTGGCTGATGGCGCCTACTGTTGACCTCTTCCATAGTTTGTTCCTTAGAAGCATTGTGACACAATGCTCTGTCGGACTCTTGAGGCTGGATGAGACTTAGCCCATTTTGAAGACGACAGTGGAACCCTTGTCTAGCTGTATAACATTTACCCACTTTGCGAGTTATTTGGCGACGCTTTACCGATGTCCAAGCCTTTATCTGTAATCGGTAGACGATTCTGATTAGGAAATTGTGGTCTGCATCGCTGAGCAGTGCCCAGTAAATAATTAAATCCAATTGTTGGATGCTACCACCCCCTCCAAATCAAAACCAAACATGGATTCCATGTTGTGTTCTTGCTTTGCGCCGACACCTGTCTGTTTCACGCCTGTTTGTCCTAGCTAATCAGCCTCGCAGACAGGAAACAGACGAAGTAGAATGGAGCATGTATGGGCAAACATTGACATCCATGTTTTGATTTGGAAGGGGGTGGTAGCATCTAACAATTTGATTTAAGTCTATCTTGGGCACTGCTCAGCGACGCAAACAACGATTTCCTAATCAGAACCGTCTACTGGTTACGGATTAAGGACGTGGGAGAAGTGTCGCATCAAACAAGCATAGGCACTGGTCGGCAAATAACCTGCAAGGTGGGTTATGTTATACTGAGATTCAATCTCTGTCTAGTACGACTGGGCTAGATGAGACTGTGCCAACCATCTTTGATTCCGCTTATCATCATGACAGTTAGAAATTCACCTGTACAATCTCTCTTCAGATCAGCAGGTACGTGTCTGTGAACAAGCTGAAGTATTTCTTTGCCGTCGACAGCAAATATGTAATGAAGAAACTTCTGCTCCTCATGTTCCCATACACACACCAGGTAATCAAGTCATTTTATTACACCAAACACACCATGTCACGTTTTTGCACATTATGCTTTACAAAGTATGATCTTCAACAGCACTGTAGCACACACTGGTGTGTCAAGGTCATGAAGACAGTCTTGGCATTCCTCCTTCGTCTCGTCTCATGTTCTCTTGTACATATCAGATAGTCGGGCCTCCAAACAAGATAATCATTCTTTAATCACCCTGCTAGCATGTGTGTGTTTTGATGTTGTCGTCACACAGAAGATGAATGTTTTCTCTAATGTTGCAGGTGTAAAAAGGACAGATGCATTTGTGCTTCAGCAATGTTTATATTAACAAGCATGATACGTTTCCACAAATTACCCTACTCAGATTAGGATAAATTGTTACAGACATTCTTTGACCTGCTAAATGTTAGGTCCAGTAAGAACTATATGTTTGTGCTTCTCTATGATGCTGTGTAAATCCATTTCACATGTTGTAATGTCAATAGGACTGGGAAGTTCGTTACCACAGAGACACTCCTCTCACACCCAGGCATGATGTGAATGCACCCGACCTTTACATACCTTGTAAGTACGTTATATTGAAACCGGTATATCAGTAAGATGTTTAATATGGAAGTGGCAATCTTTTGATTGGAATATACACAATGAATTTTGATTTGATTATTACTGTATTGTTTTTCAGCGATGGCTTTTATCACCTACATTTTGCTTGCTGGGATGGCCCTTGGCATTCAGAACAGGTTACTTCAACTACTTTTTTTCTTTTTTTTTACAACTATACAAACATTGCCAAGCAAATATATTATTTCTGGAATGTTAGATACTGGGTCACTGAAATGAATACATTGTATTTGTTAATGAATCCACCAACTAATGTTCTCCCCCCTTATCACCATTTTCTCTTCTTCAATGGAAGGTTCAGTCCAGAGGTCCTTGGTCTGTGTGCCAGCACTGCTTTGGTGTGGGTCGTCATAGAGGTCTTGGTCATGTTGCTGAGTCTCTACCTTCTCACTGTTCACTCTGACCTATCCACCTTTGACCTCATTGCCTACAGTGGATACAAATATGTGGGGTAAGGGCTCCATTAGATCTATAGCTAGGTTTCCATCCAATTGGCCACGGATTTTCATGTGAATATTCTAAAATCTGCATGTAGAATATATGTGAATTTTCCCACCAGTGGTGTGTTTCCACCAAACAAATTTGTTGCGGATTAAAATCAGTGCATGATAACGTAGTGCATACAACATGGATTTTTTCGCTGAAGTTTTCATGTACCGAATAAAAATCTAAAGTTAAGTGTTTCCATCACATTTTCAACCCTACTGATGATTTTGTCACAAATAGTTCCGTTAAATAGAAAACGTTGCCTACTCTGGTCTTACGTGCGCTCTAGCCAACAGCTGGCAGATACAGTGCGGGTAGGTTAGTCTACATTATGAGATTATTATGGATAAGAGCAAGAATATTTTTTGGGGTGAGCATCAAGCTCACTGTGCACTTTCACCATCATGTGAAGTTAATCGTAACTGGTTTCATCTGTAGCCTAATAAACTGCATGGTTTCCCGAGTCATAGTGGGAGGACCACACACCATATAATCGTGTGACTCCAAGTTTACTTCGATGTGATGGTTATTATATCAATATTTTGCATAAAGGCGTTTCCACTGCCATTTCTCATATAATTAGTTTTACAGACACAAAACGATCCTACCATGTCGAACGAACAAATTCTCTCTGCATTTATAAAATTGTACCGAAACAGCTGTCATTATTTTTTTTATATACGGTATGACTTCACTCACACTGTGGATGGAAACGTGGTTTGTTATCTATACTCTGTAAGGGATTTATTTTTTTACCTCACGTTGTTACATTTTGCTGACATTACTGTGATACCCCTGGATTTTTAAGGATGGTTCTTTGTTTTAGGATGATTTTCACAGTGCTGGGTGGTCTGCTGTTTGGCAGTGATGGGTACTTCGTGGCTCTCGCCTGGTCATCGTGTGCCCTTATGTTTTTCATTGTAAGTCCGAATTTTTCGTACCTTGTTATGCATGATAGTAAGCAAGTTGACATGGTTTAATTTGTTTTTATGTCTTTAAACTTTATGTCCAAGAGTAAACAGCATTTTTATCATGCCATCAGGTCCGCTCTCTCAAAATGAAGATTCTGTCGTCTCTCTCCCATGACTCCATGGGGGCTGGGGCGAGTGCCAAACCAAGACTTCGCCTGTACATCACCTTGGCCACCGCCGCCTTTCAGCCAATCATTATCTACTGGCTCACCTCACATCTGGTCAGGTGACCTGGTACGGGGTCTGATGCTGAGGTCCTTTGGTATTGAACTTTAAAAAAAACACATGTTGATGCTTCCTACAAACTTGGTTCTTGTGAGTGTCCGTGTTACCTGCCTTTCAGCTCATCTGCCAGAGAAAAGGGGATTATAGATATCGAGCTCTATCTTGTGTTAAGTTTTTTGGTTAAAGTTTTAAATGAACATTTATTTTTGACTTCTCTACAGTGTGAGACTTTAGTATGCAAGACACATTGATTGTCACAATGGAAGGATTTGATGTTTTCCCACCATGAGTGTTTTACATACTGTCCATTTTGGCCCCCTTATTTATAGAGAAAGAAGGGTTTTGTATTCATGAAATTGGAATATGGTTTTGAAAAAAGTTTCACACCACACTCCAGTTTTTCCTCTAAAGTTTCCTGTGTATGTTGTCCATTTGGGCTTACCAGAAATGTTGCAGTATGGTTAAATATAAAATGATTGAGCTACTCTGAGGATGTGCTACCAGTGCAGTCTTATCTTCCCCATTTATCCTTAACTGTTAAACCCTCTTATTATTGATCTAAACTTTATGGAGCATGAACAACAACCAGTGTTATGTTTTTTTGTAGAAAAATAAACATATTTAGCTTTGAATTTTAACCATGCCTCTGTCATTTTGTTAACAATGGAAAGTTTCAATGGAAAAATGTCTGTTCAGTTTGATCATCCTTGGCCTTAAATTTGGGAATGCTGTGACTGAGTCAAATCTGGAAAGTGGTTTGTCTACATGTGTTGGGAAAAGGAAAAGATTGAACTGTATCTTTAAGGCGGGAACGCGCAGGCGACGCGCAATCTGCAAAGCGTCCTTTTGGTTTCCAAGGGAACGCTAGAAAAGATAGAAGGCGAACGGGCAGGAATTGGACTTCGATTCTTCGAATGGAAATCAGACAATATTTTAAACTTTTGAATGGTATATTTTGCATAACTCGAGACTTACTAATATCCCCTGACAACTAATACGTTGCTTTATCGGTAAGCAATGCATTGTTTTTTTATACTCTTTGAAGTATTTCTGTCAGCACCTGAGGGGGAATTTAACAAAAGACTGCTTGACTGATTGTGCTAAATGTAACTTTATATTCTACCGCCATTTCCCGAAGTATGAGCACATTGAGCAGCATGTTGAGCACCATGTGGCTTCATGAGCAGTCTACTTTATTTACCCTTTTGAATTAAAACTAGTTTTCCAATCAGATGGATTTTATGCATCCACCGTTGCAATGCCTTTTTGCCACTGTAGCTGTTTGAATCTGCAAGTATAGCTAGCTAAATCATTAATCCAAAACCAGAAGAGAAAGGGGGAGAACTTTGTTCAGACTTGTCTTAATCTTTAACTTGATAATGTATATTTTTTTTAAATAATCTTACCAACTGAATGATCGGCATGCAGGGCAAGGAGTAGACTGACTCACTTAATTAATCAGTGGCTAAATGTTGTAAGATCACCTGATCTGGTCTACCAAAGCTGTTATAAATTGGGTTTGCGTACGTTTTTCAAATTGTGGAAATGCATTGCCATTAACTTGAGCTGGATTTTTCTCCATGCCATTTAAATAATGTTTGTCTGCTCTGCTTTGCTTTGCCCAACAGATCAACTATTGAATGAGTGTATAAGAAGTCTTCTGCTGGGAGAGAGATGGAGAGTGACACTCACACACTGCCACCCCTCCCTACATCTCTTATTTATCCCACCACTCTTTACCAGTCCCCACCTTTCTCCTCCTCTCTTCTGCAAACTTCTTCCACTGTCCATGTTTCACTCCCTCGCTCTCCTCTATCGATCCCACCATCCCCTACTCAGCTTTCCCCCACAGCCGCAGCTTCCTTTCACCTCAAGACTGAATCTCTCTCCCCTCTTTTAGACTCCCTGTCTCCCCCTCAGTTCCTTGACGTACAAAACTTACACTGCCTCAACTCTCCAACCACATCTGACCAAGATGACTTGACCTGCCTCAACTGGTTGCATCAAAGAGGCAACTTGCTTCCCCTGCAACCCCTGCCCAAAACAACACTGCCCCAGCTGGAGCCCCAGGATCCCATACCTACCCCACACCTTCCTCCCTTCCTATCCAAGCCCCCTTACTCCTTCAGCAGTCTAATCTTCATGGCGATAGAAGACTCGCCAGACAAGAGGCTCCCAGTGAAGGGTATCTATGAATGGATATTGAACAGCTTCCCCTACTACAGAGCAGCACCTGGGGGATGGAGAAACTCTGTTCGACACAACCTGTCTCTGAGTAAGAGCTTCCGTCGGATTCACAGGGACAAGAGCCAGGTGAGATGTGTTCACTTGTCTTCAATGTGCCCTTTTGCATTAAGTCTCACTTTCTGTTTGAAATAATAGTGTTTTGAGATATTTAAGATTGTGTATGATGTGTTTTTCAGTCGGTGGGGAAGGGCTCAATGTGGTGCGTGTGTCCAGAATATCGATACGCTCTTCTGGAGGTGCTTAGGAAGACCCAGTATTACCACAGCACTAACAGCAACTTACTAAACAACCCTGCATTGTGAGTATGAACAAACACAGTTTACTGCAGTTTAGTTCACAGTGCCAAATATCTCAAATCCTTCTAACTGTGACTACCACCCAAATTCTTGTTGGTTAATGAATGTGGGTTAATGATTTTGTCTTACAATAGCAGGCTTATCACAGCCCAGTCAGACCCTTACCAGTAGTCCAACTAACTGTATGTCTTCCCTCTCTGTCCTGTGCAGGTTGGAGGGAGCAGATTATGGAATATCTATGGTGTGTGACACTGTGGAGATCTCAGGTTAGCCCTCCTCCATCACTAGATCTTGCTACCCACACTGAAGTTTGTTGGCAAACTATATCCCCAGACAGTATTGTAGTGCCTCTTACAAATGTATTTTGGAAGATGTCAGTTCCCTCTTAATGTTTAGTCATAGTTTAATTGAAATACTTATTTTTAATTGAGGCAACAACTGATCTATCTTTTACACGTTAATTCACCTGCAGATTTTTTTTCTAACTCTTTACTCCGCATTTTGCATGTTTGGTGTGTTTGTGTGCTGTTGTCTTGGCAACAACCTTCTATTACCTTGGTAACCTATAGCCACAGCAACACGATGGCTCGGCCATTTATGTCACTCTTTTTTAGTGCAGTAACTCCCTACATTCTACTCAGAGATGGATTGTCTACAGGGTATGCACTGTAATGCATGGCTTTTCTATCTCTTTTTTAAAGCTTTTACCTCAATTGTTCTACTCTACTGTATAGGACACTATTATAAATGGATGTTGACATGCCACATTTTTCAATGTACAGTACAAAAACTAATTATGGTCTCTTTCACACAGATTCCCTTTCTCAAACCCTCCTCCTCTCCTCCCCCTCTCCCCCAGCCTTGACCTCAGACAACTCACCTCTCTCCTCAAATCCACCTTGCTCTCTGACCCCTGACCATGAGGAGCTTGTCAACATGGAGGCAGTGGAATATGAGGAAGAGGTTGGTGAGGAGAAAGACCCCCTGTCAGACAGCGGCTACATAGAGTTCCATTACTACCAGTATCATCAGTACCAGTATCTGGTCCTGCCCGGGGACACTGAACTGGATCTGGAGACCGTAGAGATCCTGCAGCTGGATGCTGAGGCCCAAGAGGCTGCTGGGTCACTTCTGGATCTGGCAGGGGGTGGACATTAGACTGATAAACAGATAATAACATGCAGTGGGGTCTAAACAAATTGACCAATAGACTGGCCTACACTGTGATGCAAGGAGATTATGTGCAACCTGAGTGATAGAAATTGACAATATGCTGCTGTGTGTTGACACTGCCTGAGATTTGATTTGCTGTCATGAAGTGATATAGCTACTGTGATTGCAAATCCAAGCCACCCTGCCTGATGCACTGGAACACATTAAGCCACTCACCACATGAATTGACATAAACCAAACCTTGGCATATGCTTTTGGTACAAATGAGGGAGAAAAAAAGTTGATGCTGTACCGATATGATGATACTAAGAATCAAGACATTTGTATTTTGATGGAAAACAACAGATGAGTGATAACATGAGAAATCTACTGCCAGTTAATCCACACTCGGATTCAGGGGACAAAGAAAGTTATGTGTAATTCTCCTGAATCCTTGTCTGTTCATGATTAACATTATATTTTTGAAATGTTTTAGATTTTATAATAATCTCTTTGCCAAGTGCACCATTTATTGAACACTTGTTATTCTAGAGAATCTATTTTATAGGCTATGTCTGATTTGTTTGATGTTTAGAAAGAAACCTTAAGACTTCTCATCTTTCACTTCTCAACTTTCTTAACAATAAAGCACCAAACTCTTTTAAAATATAGGGACTGGTAATATTTTTTGCACGTGTAAATGTTGTCTAACTGTAAGTCGCTCTGGATAAGAGCGTCTGCTAAATGACTAAAATGTAATGTAAATGTGTCCAAAACCAATTTATCATGTGCACCTTTTTCAAATACTCTCAGATAATTACAGGATTCAATGGGCAGACAGACCTGCCATCTAGTGGGGGGAATTGACTGGATATAACAAGCCCCAAAAATAAATGCACATTTGTATTTGGGTACCCCTCTAGGGATTATGTCAAAAGCCAAAACACAAAATGTACTTGATAAAATCAGTACCTCAGGTCATATGTAGATTTGGAGTTGTATTTAGTATTTTATTCAGATCCCCGTTAGCGCCAAAGACTAAATATACTACAATAACAAAAACTCACATTGTAGACAAACGCTTTGGTCGATGTAATAACATTTGTATACAGTGGGGGGAAAAAGGATTTAGTCAGCCACCAATTGTGCAAGTTCTCCCACTTAAAAAGATGAGAGAGGCCTGTAATTTTCATCATAGGTACACGTCAACTATGACAGACAAAATGAGAAAAAGAAATCCAGAAAATCACATTGTAGGATTTTTTATGAATTTATTTGCAAATTATGGTGGAAAATAAGTATTTGGTCAATAACAAAAGTTTCTCAATACTTTGTTATATACCCTTTGTTGGCAATGACACAGGTCAAACGTTTTCTGTAAGTCTTCACAAGGTTTTCACACACTGTTGCTGGTATTTTGGCCCATTCCTCCATGCAGATCTCCTCTAGAGCAGTGATGTTTTGGGGCCGTCGCTGGGCAACACAGACTTTCAACTCCCTCCAAAGATTTTCTATGGGGTTGAGATCTGGAGACTGGCTAGGCCACTCCAGGACCTTGAAATGCTTCTTACGAAGCCACTCCTTCGTTGCCCGGGCGGTGTGTTTGGGATCATTGTCATGCTGAAAGACCCAGCCACGTTTCATCTTCAATGCCCTTGCTGATGGAAGGAGGTTTTCACTCAAAATCTCACGATACATGGCCCCATTCATTCTTTCCTTTACATGGATCAGTCGTCCTGGTCCCTTTGCAGAAAAACAGCCCCAAAGCATGATGTTTCCACCCCCATGCTTCACAGTAGGTATGGTGTTCTTTGGATGCAACTCAGCATTATTTGTCCTCCAAACACGACGAGTTGAGTTTTTACCAAAAAGTTCTATTTTGGTTTCATCTGACCATATGACATTCTCCCAATCCTCTTCTGGATCATCCAAATGCACTCTAGCAAACTTCAGACGGGCCTGGACATGTACTGGCTTAAGCAGGGGGACACGTCTGGCACTGCAGGATTTGAGTCCCTGGTGGCGTAGTGTGTTACTGATGGTAGGCTTTGTTACTTTGGTCCCAGCTCTCTGCAGGTCATTCACTAGGTCCCCCCGTGTGGTTCTGGGATTTTTGCTCACTGTTCTTGTGATCATTTTGACCCCACGGGGTGAGATCTTGCGTGGAGCCCCAGATCGAGGGAGATTATCAGTGGTCTTGTATGTCTTCCATTTCCTAATAATTGCTCCCACAGTTGATTTCTTCAAACCAAGCTGCTTACCTATTGCAGATTCAGTCTTCCCAGCCTGGTGCAGGTCTACAATTTTGTTTCTGGTGTCCTTTGACAGCTCTTTGGTCTTGGCCATAGTGGAGTTTGGAGTGTGACTGTTTGAGGTTGTGGACAGGTGTCTTTTATACTGATAACAAGTTCAAACAGGTGCCATTAATACAGGTAACGAGTGGAGGACAGAGGAGACTCTTAAAGAAGAAGTTACAGGTCTGTGAGAGCCAGAAATCTTGCTTGTTTGTAGATGACCAAATACTTAATTTCCACCATAATTTGCAAATAAATTCATTAAAAATCCTACAATGTGATTTTCTGGATTTTTTTTCCTTATTTTGTCTGTCATAGTTGACGTGTACCTATGATGAAAATTACAGGCCTCTCTCATCTTTTTAAGTGGGAGAACTTGCACAATTGGTGGCTGACTTAATACTTTTTTTCCCCACTGTATATATATTCTGATTTGTCCGTCAGTAAATTTAGAGAGCAAGTGTACAAAAGGAAATTATACATTTCCGTTATGGACATTAATGGGTTTAGCACATTCTGTAGGTTCCACATTCGTAGCCCTCCATTGAAATCTACATTTCCCATCAGCACAAAGGTAAAGAAGAGGGTCAGTGTGGGAGAGAGAGGGTCAAAGGAGAATATTCAGGGGTCCTAGATCAGAGAGAGATGGTGGGGGATACATTGAATAGCCCTTTTATGTTGGCTGAGATGAAGAGAGCATTAGCTAAAGCTGGGGTAACATCTCCTGGGAAGGATGAGATGTGTTACATCATGATGGCTCATCTCAGTGACACTGCAATGGGGAAAGTATTGGGCCTTTACAATAAGGTGTGGAAGGAAGGGACACTGCCTGGAAGTTGGAAGCAGGCTGTAGTGGTGCCAATACGGAAACCTGGGAAAGACCCTACTAGTCCTTCAAGCTATAGGCCGATAGCGTTGACATCTCACATATGGAAACTTATGGAAAGGATGATAATGGAAAGGCTGACTTACTTCCTGGAGAGTAGAGGACTAATGTCACCAGATCAAAGTGGGTTCAGGAAAGGCAGGGGAACGATGGATCCTGTACTGTGCCTTGAGACAGTCATACGGAAGGCACAGGCAAATAAGGAGGTGGTGGTAGCCGTTTCTTAGATGTAGAGAAGGCTTATGATATGATGTGGAAGGAAGGCCTGCTTATCAAGCTGGATAACATGGGGGTTGGAGGAAGGGTTTTTAACTGGATAAAGGATTTTCTTTTTGGGCGATCAATACAAGTGAGGGTGGGGAGCTCTATGTCAGAAAGCTATTAGGTGGATAATGGTACCCCCCAGGGAAGTGTCATTAGTCCTTTGTTGTTCTCCATTATGATTGAAGATGTATTCTCTCAGGTGAGACCTGATATTGGGAGGTCATTGTTTGCGGATGATGGAGCGCTGTGGAAGAGAGGGAGAAATATTACCCATACAGCCAGAAGAGTTCAAGAAGCTATTAGTGAAGTAGAGCAGTGGTCCCTCAGGTGGGGCTTCAAGTTTTCAGTTGAGAAAACACAGACTGAGTTTTTTTCTAGAAGGAAGGTTGGGGAGGAAATATACTTGAAGTTGTATGGAAGGAATCTGGAGAGGGTGGGAGGGTTTAGGTTCCTGGGGGTCTGGTTTGACACTGGAATGATATGGGCGGAGCATATTAACAGAGTAGTTGTCAAAGGAAATAAAATATTGAATGTGGTGCGTTGCTTGTCAGGAATGGAGAGGGGGCAGATAGAATGGCGTTGAAAATGATATATATAGCGCTGTTAAGGTCATCAATGTATTATGGAAGTATTACATATGGATCAGCAGCTCAGACGTCTTTAAAAAAGCTAGATGTTATCCAGGCCCAAGCTCTAAGAATATGTGGTGGAGCACTCAGGACCTCCCCAGTGGCAGCGATGCAGGTAGAGTTGGGAGAGATGCCGTTAAAGTTAAAGACAATAGCTAGCCATGACATATTGGGTAAATCTACAAGGACAAAAGGTTACACGTCCTACAAAAAAGGTGCTCCTAGAGTGCTGGGAACATGAACAAAATCTGAATACAAGCTTTGGGTGGATAGGCAATTGCATGGCGAGAGATATCAAATCAAATCAAATCAAATTTGATTGGCCACATGCGCCGAATACAACAGGTGTAGACATTACAGTGAAATGATTTACTTACTTACAGACCTTAACCAACAATGCATTTATTTTTTAATGAAAAAGTAAAATAAATTAAAAAAAAAAAAAGTGTTGACAAAAAAAGAGCAGAAGTAAAATAAAATAACAGTAGGAAGGCTATATACAGATATATGCAAATAGTCCGGGTAGCCATGATTAGCTGTTGTTAAATTAGATGGGGTTGTTTGGAAGGGAGTTTAGCCCCTCTGTGGTTATTCTTGTTTTCCCACCTTGGGTTCTCCCTCAACCAGTGATAGATCTATGGTTGCTTGAGAGGATTAGAGATGTTGAGGAAGGAGTAGATTCAGTTGTAAGTGAACATTTAAGAACACAATACTATGCTTCCTTGAATATATTCACAGATGGATCTAAGGACCCTAAAACAGGGAGGACAGGAGCAGCTTTTAGTGTTCCTGAGTTTAAGGTGGCAGTGACGAAAAGAGCAACAGATCATTTATCTGTTTTCACAATGGAGTTGTTGGCCATACTATTGGCTGCAGAGTGGGTGGAGGAGGTGAGGCCAGACCGGGTAGTCATCTGCTCTGACTCCAGTGCAGCACTGATGAGCTTAAATTCATGTGTCTCAGAGCAGACAGGATGTATTGTATGAGATTTTGCAGTGTTTGTATAGGGTGAAACAGATGGGGGTATTTGTGATGTTCCTCTGGGTACCAGCTCATGTGGGAGTAGAGGGGAATGAGGAAGTGGATATTATTGCCAAGCAGGCTCTTAAACATCCTAATGTTGTGATATAATTGTCAATAGGTAAAGCAGAAGCCAAGGGGTTAATAAGAACAGTGGTTAAGAATAAGTGGCAAGAGTTGTGGAACAGGGAGAGTAAGGGAAGAACCTGCATAAGATCCAGGAAAAGGTGGGGGCAGGGAGGTCCTCAGGCCGAGAGAGAAGGGAGGAAAGTGTAGTCACAAGGCTGAGACTGGGACACACAAGGCTAAATAGTACATAGAAAGTGGTGCGGAAACATCCAACTGGGAGGTGTGATCATTGTCAGGAGGAGATGGACACAGTGAAACGTTCTATTTCAGTGCCAGAAATATGTGAGAGAAATTGAGCGATTGTTATTAGATTTGAGGAGAAATGGGGTTGAAGAGCCAGGATTAAGTGAACTGCTGGGGAAATCTTCAGGGGATGTAGTATTTAATTATGTATTTCGTTTCCTTAGGGAGACGAGATTATTGGGCAGGATTTAGACCTTCACTGTCTCTGGTCCACACTCCAGTCCAGTTGGTGGCGGTAATGCACCTTAAAGTTGGTTACCAACCACCATATAAAATCCACAGAAGAAGAAGAAGAAAGCGAAGAAGAGGAGAAGAAGAAGGAGAAGAAGAAGGAGGAGGAGGAGAAGGAGAGAAGAAGAAGAAGAAAAGAAGCATACAGAAGCAGAAGAAGAGAAGAGAAAATAGAAGAAAAGCAACTACTAAAGACGAACTCCAGCCTCATCTCCTCGGCACGCCTCACTCCATGCTCCTTCTCCCGCCTTCGCCGCTCGCTCCTCCTCATCAGAACCGAAGAAAGAAGAAGAAGAAGAAGAAGAAGAGTAACCATGAACGCCTGGAGGATCTTTGTAAATGTAGTTTTATTACTTCCAGACGTAACGCCATTGACAAAACTACAAGCCCTACAGGTCAATCGGACTGCAGACACGGAAGTGAATGAATTCTTGTTGGAAAAGTTGTCTTGCCAGCAGTGTTGTTAATTTCTGACTCGTTGCTTGTGCCTGTGAATTCCTCATTCGGGATACCAAAGGTAAAACAGTGCTTTACCTAATAATTTACGACTATTTGGTTAACAGTAAACCGTCGTTTTAAAATTGTGAGAAAATAATGTTTCTGTAAGCTTAGTTAGCTAACGTCTTTAGCTGACAAGCGTACTGTAGTTACATTCAGCGTGCAGTACACTCAATGTCTTTATGCTAACAGCTAGCTGAAATATTGTTGTGTACTAGATCGCAAAATGATTTAGCTTGCTAACAAATGTCCTCAATGCACCAACGTTCTATGGTATGATAGGGCTACACGGTTGTCTGTAAAAAGAGTGTGAAATCTGTTGCTGGGCCTTTGATTTCTAGGTAGCTAGTTACACAGTTGAGAAAAACCTGTTCTCAGTCATGCATGCCTTATGTTACTTAGTCTGTGCCTCTGCCTGTCTGCCTGTCATGATAGAGAAATTCATGGTATGTTACTCAATTTGCTTTTTGGCACCACACCTTCAGAGCAACTGTCATTGCTGTTGGCTGAAACATAACTTAAATGGTGTTTTGAGTACAGTAATTTTATTCTGATCTGAAAATGTCTAGCAAGGTGTGAGATTGATATAGGCTTTAGCCAGAGTAAGTTTAATGTTGTGTTAGACTTATCCAGAACGCTGCAGCCCGTCTGGTGTTCGACCTTCCCAAGTTCTCTCATGTCACCCCACTCCTCCGCACACTCCACTGGCTTCCAGGTGCTTGCCTACGGAGCTGTGAGGGGAACGGCACCTCCTTACCTTCAGGCTCTGATCAGACCCTACACCCAAACGAGGGCACTACGTTCATCCACTTCTGGCCTGCTAGCTCCCCTACCTCTTCGGAAGCACAGTTCCCGCTCAGCCCAGTCAAAGCTATTTGCTGCTCTGGCACCCCAATGGTGGAACAAGCTCCCCCACGACGCCAGGACAGCGGAGTCACTGACCACCTTCCGGAGACACTTGAAACCCTACCTCTTTAAGGAATACCTGGAATAGTATAAAGCAATCCTTCTACCCCCCCCCCCCCCTCCCCCACCCCCCCATAAAAAAAAAAGTGGTTATCCCACTGGCTATCATAAGTTGAATGCACCAATTTGTAAGTCGCTCTGGATAAGAGCGTCTGCTAAATGATGTAAATGTAAATGTTAGTTAATATTGGCCTGGTTGACTTTTCCCCCTTTCAGTAATGGTGCCCATCTTGCCCGTGGGCATGGGCGGCTACTAGCAATGCAACAAAGAACCTCATTGAGAAGGTTAAAGGAATCTCTGCGTGGATGTGGAGCATGCACTAGCCAGCAGCTGGGTTGATGCATCACACATTACCTTAGACACAGTCCTGCACAGAGCCCAACATTGTCTAATGATGAAAGCTTATCTGTGTATGAACTATGAATCATTTCTCACTGGGCACTGGGTTCTCCTCAGAATTATTATTATTTTTCAACATTACTGTGCTTTTCATGGCCTCAGTTTGAGCTTGAATTGTTTATACAGGGAGTGTGTAATGGGTAGCCTGACTACACACTCAATTATTGTGCTGCTCTGTCGTTCGCTACATACTTTAGTCTGAGACTGCCATCATTGAAGTCGTTTGTGGTGACGAGGGGTGATGTAGAAAAGTCATCAGCGATTGGATCGTCTCTAACCAATCAGATTATCAAAGCCAATGATGAATTTTCAAACTGTCGCTTTACCCACATGTGTTCGGCTCTGGCCTAACCCATCAGTTTTTGCGTCGGTGATGATGTACTCAGATCAGGAATTGGCAGATTCGAATATGGCACCGGTCTATGGCCTGTGATGTGAACGGGCAAAAGCGGTGAGGGAGGAGCAGTAATCTCCACCGCTCTGTGATGTCAACAAGGCAGCATGGTGCACCGTCCAGAAACATCTATTTTCCATGAAATATATGTTTGAATTTTCAAAAAAGTTTTCATTGGGAAGGCAGTGTCATGACTTGCCCTCATGGGCTGAGGATCAAAGATGCCGGCTAGGCAAAGGTTTGAACACCCCTCTCCTGGGGGCCAGTTTTATGACCGGTCGTAAATTCCTTGCAGAAACGTTATTTTCCGTGCCATGCATTAATGGGAGAGGGTATTTCCCTGTGGAACAAAGGAAGTCTTCTCACCAAGACTCCAACATCCAAAAGTGAATAATGAAACAATATTCCTACTTAAAATAATGTGGGAAATGGTCGGTGGCGACTTAAAAAACAATAATGTCAAATTGTGGTCCTCTGTAGCTCAGCTGGTAGAGCACGGCGCTTGTAACGCCAGGGTAGTGGGTTCGATCCCCGGGACCACCCATACACAAAAATGTATGCACGCATGACTGTAAGTCGCTTTGGATAAAAGCGTCTGCTAAATGGCATATTATTATTATTAAATTCGTTACTATGTTGTGATGGCATTAAAGACAGTGGAACAACATAACTGTATCTCTGGGGGTGTACACTTCCCAGTTATGAGGTTTGCATCTAATTGTTGTATAAAACGAATGATTAAGTATAATAATAATTTTGTGAAAATAACAATGTGATTTTAGCATTCTAGATGAGATGATTGTTTCCATATTGATTTGTTCTCAGTCAGTGGCCATGCCCAGATGAGCACAAACATGATGAAACGGCCCCTTTTCTACTCAAGTATAAAACCCCTCCTGACGAAATTGAAGCTTCACTGAAGCTTCACGTTACAAAATGGTTAGACCAGAAAGACCAGAAAACGTGAGAAGTTAGTCCACACATTTGAAATGGAGAAACTCTGAAACTCTCAACCTCTACACGAGGTGAAGAAGAAGACAATGCACTAGACCTTATCATCTCAGTCTGCAGCTGGCATGTATAGTCGTCTAGAGAACTTTCACTAAAGACACGAGTTGGGAAGGACTATACCTCTCCGACAACCTCTGGTACATCTGAAGTATCTATTCTAACAGATCAACTCTACGAACTACAGGGTACGCTGAAGTATCCATTCTAACCACCACTGCGACCAGAAACTACCAAGGACATTGGGATCTCTGGTGGGCAAACCAGAGTCCTACATCATCAACTCAACTATCGAGGACAGCTACACATAAATACATGTTGTATTTCTAATCCGAATGAGCGTAATTAGGGTGCATAAGTATTATGATTACTGTGAGCGTAGTTTCCAAAGTAACTATGATAGTTTGAATCTCTGTCTCTCCCTTCCATTCTGACCCCTCCTTCTACCCAAGCATTCATGCTTTTGTTAGTCCAGTCCACTAGGGACCTGTTTTCATTGTATTACGTTAGTAATCAATAACCCTATGTGTGTGTGTGTGTGTGTGTGTGTGTGTTTGTATTGTGTTTGTATTGTGTTATTATTTAGTTAGTTAGTAAATAAACAATCAAGCCAATTTGTGTATTGCTGATTCATCAATAAGGTTTGGGTTCTTGCAGGTTCAAGGATTATGCGACGTTCAGAATGAGACTGATAAGAGGTAATTATTTAATAAGTGACTGTTATCGATATATAACATATATCTTCTAAGAGTTTAATTCGGGAGATGGTAACTCGTTAAACAACTTCTTCCGTGGTGCCCCAAATTCCTAATGAGTTAATTGTTAAGATGATTAATTTAATTGAGTGACAATTAAACATAATTAGTGGATTCGATAAATAACAGTCATACATTAAAAGTAAGTAAAGTCACAACAGCAGATAAAGCTTTTGTTAAATCACTTTTGCATGTGAAAACACCGAATCCTACTTGTTACTCCACGTGCTTAATTACGTCACTTTCGTTTTGAGCCATCTTCACCGTGGGTGTTGAATGGGGCACCTGGCTCACGCCCGGGAGGCAGCCCGATTCCAAAACGAATGCAATTAACTTCAACCCGGTGCAAAACACGCCTACCCGGGCACCCGGCCCAGTTTAATCGAATCCCCTCGCTTATTGCGGAGAAGAAACTAACGTCCGTGGGCGTGGTGTAGCGTTTAGTCGGAGCAAGGAGTCTGGGTAGCCAGGCAATGTAATGGGATGGAAGTCGCCAGAGTTGTAACACCTATTAGTTATAAAGTATTATCAGCTTTGATAATAGCTTGACGTGAGGCAGGCCTAAATCTAACCTACTCTAACATGAAACATTTCACGCCTCAGATTTGCACCATTATTAATGTCACAAGTTTAAATCTCGTGTGTCCCGTCACCCACAGGGAACGATGGGGAGCGAACCAGGCCCAGTCCAGATTGTGACAGTTTGCAAGGAGGATCACTCCTTTGCCTTGGACACAGAGGCTCTGGGACGGGTTCTGCTGGCACCAGAGGTCCGGGACAAACATGTGGTGGTGCTCTCAGTGGCAGGGGCCTTCCGGAAAGGCAAGAGCTTCATTCTGGACTTCATGCTCCGCTACATGTACAGGAAGGTCAGTGTTTCTGAAATTAGAACATACACACCCATGGTCCTAAGCTTGGTTCAAAGTTCAGTATTTCATTAGTTTTCTATCACATACAGGTAACTGTGTGTGCGTATGTCTGTGTATGAAAACAATGTAAACCATATGCCCTAGGCCGTCTCTGTCACCAGATCTCAACCCAATTTAACACTTATGGGAGATTCTGGAGCGGCGCCTGAGACCGGGTTTTCCACCACCATTAACAAAACATCAAATGATGGAATTTCTTGTGGAAAATTAGTGTCGCATCATCCCTCCAATAGAGTTCAAGACACTTGTAGAATCTATGCCAAGGTGCATTGAAGCTGTTCTGGCTAGTTGTGGCCCAACGCCCTATAAAGATACTTTATGTTGGTGTTTCATTTATTTTGGCAGTTACCTGTATCTCTCCCTGTGACCTGAATTGTTTCATGATGTCAGACTTATTCTCAGGGCTGCTGCCCAGTCAGTAATGTGTAGCGGCGTATGTATTCCTCCAGAAGCATGGTGAGGAGTGGCTGGGCCAGGACGATGAGCCCCTGACTGGGTTCAAATGGAGGGGGGGCTCAGAGCCAGAGACCACCGGCATCCAGCTGTGGAGTGAGGTCTTCCTGGTGGAGAAGAGCGATGGAACAGAGGTACTGACTCCAACATTCAAAACTATGCGCTTTGGAATGATTCTGCCATTGTGCTAGAAAGTTGTTTGGGCACTGGAACTGAACAGTGTGCAAAGTGTAATGTTTATGTTGGTATTATGCATTTGATTGATTGATTGATGGATGGATTGATTTCTGCCCTCTATAGGTGGCAGTATTACTGATGGACACCCAGGGCGCATTTGATAACCAGTCCACTGTGAAGGATTGTGCCACAATCTTTGCCCTCAGCACCATGACCAGCTCAATACAGGTGATCTGCTGTGCACTCATGTAATTTGTTATAATTGATGTCATTGGTGTTAATATGTTTGTGTAATATGGTTGTGATTGTTTGTGTCTCTCTTGCAGATCTACAACCTCTCACAGAACATTCAGGAAGATGATCTGCAGCAGTTGCAGGTCAGTCTTCCTCAGCAGCAGCATGTGTGCCTGGCTAAAGCGACAGACTCTGGCTGACTCCAGTCTGGGGAGGCGCTTTGATGTTGTTGGCATGATGCGTTGATTATGAAGAGGACTGTGCTTTTACAGTGGTTGGTTCTTTGTGTCTCTCTCACTGAAACACCCACACACACAGCCCCCGAGCGCCATGCCCTTGCTTTGCAACTGTTCGTTTTTCAAATCCAAACTGCGAAAGGTCTTAACCCCCTAGAAAAAAAGGGTTGTGATAACCAACCAGCTTGATTGCTCAAAACTGAGCTCTAAAACTACCTTTAACATTGGACTCAACAGGGAATCCAGACCAACAGTGTGTACCTTAAAATAAAATAAAAAATATGCCATTTAGCAGACGCTTTTATCCAAAGCAACTTACAGTCGTGCGTGCATACATTTTTGTGTATGGGTGGTCCCGGGGATCGAACCCACTACCTTGGCGTTACAAGCGCCGTGCTCTACCAGCTGAGCTACAGAGGACCTTGTGCTATTCCACGTGGTCTAGTGTCAGCCAGGCTAGCAACATGTTCCACGACCTGAGAGCATGGCTCCCCAGGACACGGAAATTCTGGAATTGAAACACAAGCCTAGGCATAGAAAGTGAGGGGTTTTGCATACCAATGTGCTCATTCAAAGTCAGGGAACTTCAGAACATACCTGAAGGCAGGGCTCTAAATTAACATTTATCATAGACTGTTTGGTTGTTTTTTACTATGGGGCAAACAGACAGGGTTGGCTTAGATTGTTGACAACATGTAAACTATATTTTGTCTCCAATGTTTATTGAAAACATAAATACATTTGCACAATGAGCACTTGTTGTCTCAAATACATCGTTACAGTTGTTGGTTAGCTAGCTAGCGAATTTTAGCCATATTAGCATTGACATGAAATCATTCAAAACACCCCAAAACAAGACATGGTATTAAGAAATAGATGAAACTAACTAAAACGGGTCACTTACGATTATCCACATGGCAGTTTCTTGTCATTGTTGGTAGCTATCTGGCCATCCAGAATCACAACAACTCATGGACGTCTGCCCCATTGAAGCACTGGTGCTTCCAACTTAAACAAAGTTAGGAGCACAACATAAAATCTAGGAGCACCAGAAGATTTTTAATTTTTATTGATTGAGATATAGCAAGAGATCAGTCATTCATTCATTTATTAATTTCTATGATCGTTGATATTCTAAAGAAGCTATGTACTGGTAAAGTAACCAGGTTGTTAGCTAGCTAGCTAATGAGGTAACATGACTGAACAAGGTGTAAACAAATGTCTGTGAATGGTTTTGGAACATCCCGCGACATGCTTTATGAACAGGGCCTAAAAACAAACGTTTTGGTCTGCCAGCCACTTTGGCAGGTAAATGTCCACAACAATGCTTAAACCACATCAGGATACCACTTTTGAGGTCTGGAGAAGAAAATAATAACATTTTGGAGGGTATAGTTGCCCTTTAATTTCAATTGTTCACCTCAAGAGACTGGTGTTTGGCTGGTGGTGTTTCTGTACTGCATCTGCAATAGCAGAGTTTGCGAACCAAAAGACCACTCAAATGATACAAATCATCATGATATTGTATCATTTTGCCAGATAAGCCTACTTTACAGTTAACATTTAATTTGGAAAGTTTTATAGGAAAGCATTTAGAAACGACTGTTTCAGCATCACTAACTGGCTACACAAAGTGTAGACACAGGCATTCCCATGCCATTAGTTATTCAGAAAGTTGCAACAAGTACAAATCACTGATGCATTTTAAAATATTATTTTACATGTAGGCTTTGGAATGAATGAATCTGCGCTCGCTTTTTTTCTCTAGGGCACTCGGAAACAACTACAGTGAAGTCTATCATTACAACAATTTTTAAATGGGTGATTTTTATTTTTTTATGGTCGCACTTGTGCTCCCAAAATAAAATATCAGGTCGCACAGCAAAATACCTTTGAGCATATGCGACCAAAATGGTTGCACTTTAGAGCCCTTCATGAAGGCCACATTATTTACAGTATCTGTTTCTAATAGCAATTGCAGTACCTCAAGTTAATTTAGCCTTTTTTTAAAATTTGATTTCTTGTGCATAATTAATTACACCCCTGTATGTTCTGTCTTCGTCCAGCTGTTCACAGAGTATGGTCGCCTCGCCATGGATGAAATCTATCTGAAGCCCTTTCAGGTATGTGAACCAAAAGTCTTATAAATATCAAGCAAACGTTCATTGGTCATTTAGGATCTAGACCAATTATCTTTAAGTGCCTTTTGACCTTACTCACAGTCACTTTTTCTGGTATATATTTGCTAACTAAAAGTGCCTTGTCTTTACCATACCTGGTCTCTCTCTATTCTCCCTTTTTACCCACAGTCTCTGATGTTCCTAATCAGGGATTGGAGCTTTCCCTATGAGTATAAATATGGGCTGAAGGGAGGCAGCGAGTTCCTGGATAAACGTCTACAGGTACCAGTCCCTTTTCAGGGTACAAATTGAAGTGCTTTTTGTGATTGTTGTTGCTGCACTGTGTAAGATATGATAGTAAATTCAGCCAGGTTCAGTTATGCATTGGTGATAGTAACCAGCATGTGTGATGTTGTGCAGGTGAAGGAGACCCAGCATGAGGAACTACAGACGGTGAGGGAACACATTAATTCATGCTTCACCTCCATCAGCTGTTTCCTGTTACCACATCCTGGGTTGAAGGTGGCCACCAGCCCCGCTTTCAAGGGCCAGCTTAGTGGTATGGCTGCCCCCTTGTCCATCTTGTTAATCCATCTAATGAGGAACCAACTGTCTGAGGAATTAACTTGATCTGTTTCAACCCTCTCTCAGATGTGGCTCCCGAGTTTAAAAAGGAGCTATGCAACCTCATCCCCACACTGCTGCACCCTAGCAGCCTGGCTGAGAAAGAGATCAACGGCAACAAAGTCACCTGCAGGGGCCTGCTGGAGTTCTTCAAGGTGAGACTGTGTGTTTAGCTCTCTGAGGTACCTGCCAGGTTTGTATCATCAAGTCATGTTTGACAGTATAATGTTTGTGATTACAGGCATACATCAAGATCTATCAGGGTGAAGACCTGCCACACCCGAAGTCTATGCTGCAGGTACACACCCATTAACCACTTAGGTTTTCCACTTTGAGAGTAATGTAATATTCCACTGTATTGCTCTTCAACAGAGGAATATAATGTTAATATTGAAGTTGAGGATGTTCATAAGTCTTGAGGTGTTCTTGAATGTCACTAGTCCACTGCCACTAAATGTACAGTATATCTCTCTCAAAAGGCCACAGCAGAGGCCAACAACTTGGCAGCCGTGGCAGCAGCCAAAGACCAGTATTACAAAAACATGGAGAAGGTGGGTTTGTGTTGAAGAATGTGCATTTTTATCTGAAAGAACAGTTACTCTTAAGATCTCACCTTGCATTCTGTTTTCTTCTCTCCCTCTATTGTCCTGAAGGTCTGCGGGGGAGACCTTCCCTATGTGGCTCCTGCCTCTCTGGAGGAGAAGCACCAATTCTTCTTCCGGGAGTCCCTCCATGTCTTCTCCTCCACCAAGAAGATGGGAGGGCAGGAGTTCTGCGACCGCTACCAAGACCAGCTGGAGGCCGAGCTGGTAGAGCTGTGGCAGTCTTTCAGCAAGCATAATGAGGTAAGAGTCACACCAGATACATTTTTTGTTAGTAAAAACATTTTATTTTCCATTTTAAATTCACTGATGATAAATTCAAGGTATAATTATTGAAATCAATAGATAAACATTATAATTAATATGATTTTATTTTATTTCTCTTTGAAAGTCAAAGAATGTCTTCAGTGCATTCCGGACGCCCGCAGTGCTTTTTGTTCTTGTGTGCTTCCTGTACGTGCTGTCAGGGCTGTTGCTCTTCATCGGCCTGGCTACCATTGCTTTTGCATGTGACTGTGTCTTGGGCCTGGCCATGGTCGCCATGCTCACCTGGAGCTTCATACGCTATTCTGGAAAATACCGGGGGCTGGGGGGAGCCATCGACCAGACAGCAGGCGTCATACTGCAGCAGGTGAGCACATATTTTGAATTGTGTGTGTGTGTATGTGTGTGTGTGTGTGTGTGTGTGTGTGTGTGTGTGTGTGGGCCCATCACATTTGGTGTACAGAGTATGCAGTTGGACTGTAAAAAAAACCAAAGCATAGTTATTGTTTGTAAACTTTTGGTAAGAATCAACATTTTCCTCCTTAGAAATAATTAAAGTACCCTTATTTACAGTTTTCATTCAATACAATTTAATCATGTCCTTCTTTTCTTTCAGGCCACCGTGGTATTGAACAAGTCGAGGCCAGCGGTGGCTGAGATGAGGAAATCCAGCTAGATGGCCTCGACCCTGTCTCTCAATGCAATACAACATGCACACAACACAAGCACACATCCCAGCACTAAAGCCTTACCATGCTATCCAATGGAACCAACATACAGCACCTACAAGGTGCAGTTACAACACCAACACATGATTATAATGGCAATGGGAGGTCAAAACGATGCAGATACACCAGCATCTTTTCAATCGCACAATTTTACATCAAAGGTTACATCATCGTCTATCTACATAAAGATGAGATCATAGTCTTACAGAGTATCTGGGGCAAGGTGCATTCTCAGACCCATGGGGTTGTTTATTCCCCTGGACCTGTTTTTAACACTGACTGACACTGCCATTCTCACACACCTCCCCTCGTTTATAAAGACAACCCAGTGATGTTTACGTAGAAACACTAGACCCAAGTAATGTATTATTATTGGACATGCCATGGATTTGAATGCATCATAATCTATGTATCCTTTGTGACCAATGCTTAGTATTAGGAGGCTGGCCAGGGGGCTTTTAAGTCGAATAAGACTTGAGCAGTGTATCCTCCTGATGCAATTTACCTATGCTATGCTGTGCTGTAATGGGGTATACCAGTTATACATGTAGCCAGATCTTCTTGACTTAATGCTGGTCTCTTTATACCGCTCTGTGGCCTTGTGCACATTCCATCCCATTCCCAGTTTTGCATTATGCTCCTTATTTGCTTCCCCTGATCCATGTCAGGGATTCCTTGTTGTTGTACTGCTTTCGCTTCGTTCTTGATTCCAGGCTTGGTGACTCTAAAACACAAGCCCACTTTAGAGGCAGTGCTGATGCATTCCACTGTTATCCTTTGTAAGTTTTAGACTGCTTCACTGCTTGTAACTTGACCAAAATGTCTTACAGTACATTACTTCTGAACTTGGAAGGTTGGTTAAGAGAAGTTAGTTAAGTGGCACTTACTTGAGGAATTAATGCGCCAAAGATGTTATATGTAAGATTTTGCAGTACAGAGGATCGCTTGAAAGGAAATTGTGATCATTTTGAATTTATGGGAACAGTTTTCTTATATGGATTAGGATAACTGGTTTGTGTGTAAACAGGTGATGGGTAATGTGAGGCGCTTGGTGACCTGTCAGCCAAAGAATTACCCATAAGCATAGGGGTACAATGAAAGGCAAGAGACCTCTTCCTCAGAATCCAGATAAATCGACATAGTTCTACAAAATCCATTGTCTCTGACATTCCTTTTGCACATTCCATGTCCATGTTCCATTCCATTGTTGAGGAGGGATTTTTCCGCATTTACTATTGCACTCTCCCTATGTACAGTTACATTTGAACTCATTCCACAAATAAAAATATATTACAGTAGATACATGAAATTCATGTTCTCATTATTGCTTCCTTTTTTTAATCATCTTTTGCAATAGTATTTTTTGTGGCCTTGGTAACTGAAATGTTTATTTTTTAAGAATAAGTCATGCTTAAGCCAAATAAAATGCAAATTACCTGTGTAAGCTTGGTTGAGTTCTTGACTAGTTAATCACATATACTGCTTTCACTTTGTCATGACAAAAACGTTTTTTATTATTGATTCTGGTCTTCCTTTTATGGAGAGGGTGTCAATATTGAATGGATAAAGAGAAGAAATACAGTTAATCATGCTACTGTCTATTTCACATAACTGGAATAGTTCAAATCAGTTTAGTGGTCAGTCTTCTAATGGTAATGATGATGAATCAATCACCCATTACTGTTGTTAGTTGGCATCAAGCAGGGTTATTTAAATTATTCACAATTTCAGACAGGTTTTAGTGTTGTACACTGTTTAGTTGTAAATTAAAAGGGCTCGACAGCCATTCATATTCCAGTGGCAGAGCCGTTCCCTCTTTATTTTGTCCTTCTTGTCCCTCCTACTTTTCCCCTCCTTGCTGTCACTCTCCTTTCTACACTGCACAATGCTGCTCCCACCAACAGTGCGTATAGTGCGTAGAGAAATTTGCTATAGCGAAAATCATGTCCTTGTTTCCTTATATGGTGATCGGCGTCGCGGGCCCCCTTGTTGAACCGAGGCGCGTGCACCGCTGTCGCCACCATTCGCTTCCATATTTGGAAGTGAGTTCAACAAACCTAGAGGGGGTGTGGTGAGGAGAGACAGAGCAAGTGAGACTGAATACTTTTCTGTTATGGATTCTACACTATGAAACATTATTATTCTCGTGTCTGAATAGCATAGGTGTCCGTAATACTATATTGTACACACATAATCACTGTGTTGCAGGGCGCATGTTTTCCCAAAGTTTTTTTTCTGTTGATGTCAGTGCCTCAGCTCAGGCCTAAAAGTAACCACACTGCACCATCTTTTGAGAATGAAGGGATGCTCATAGTCGGAACCGTTAAATTATTATCTTATTTAAAATTACAGTCGCCTTCTATCTTATATCAATGTTGTAGAGTTTGTCCACAGGTTATGTTTTATTTTGACAAACATGAAACGTTATACAGAAGGGTTTAGAACTTCTATTCCCACCATGCTCTACGTTAAATCTCATGAACACTTTTTCCTGGAGATGCTCGCGCTCCCCACCCCATCAACAACCACGCGCAGATTAGCGCGTCCACGTGGTGTATCAAGTGTGTGCGAGATATTACAGACACTGCATCACAGCTCATTCAATTTCTATCCAGACGCCGACCAATTCAGAGACAGCTATGGTACGTTTACATTTAACAACAAGCTAGCTCTGTGGCATATAACTGAAAATACCTTATCATTGGAGTGTGTTTTGTCTTATAGCACTGTATTTTAGCTAATGAACAGCGAGTTCATTTTGAGATGAAATCGACAGCATCAGATTGTTCCTGTCGGGTCAGCTGTGACTGCTATCCTGTGTTCAGGAACGTTTGCTAGTTGGAAGTTGAATCTTGGATGGTAGTAAAATGTTTTTTAATCATTCAGGTGACTGGCCTTTCCCCGAAAGCCTGTTTTATCCAGGTGTTTGCTCGCCTCCTCTTGCCGTTTTAATCGCCTACAATAGAAAGGAAACGACCCCAAAACAACTGGCGCCATTTCCTTCCTCCCCTTCATTGAGTAAGGCCTAATGCACAGTCTAGCACGTTGAGTCGCAAGTAGCAGTCGCTTTCATCGGCATATTTCTATGCTATCAAGTGAAGTTAGCTAACTGGTTAGTACTGCCCGTTGCTACTTCTCCCGGTGAATTTACTAGCTAGCTAAGTAACTGTTTGTCTGGATTTGTATTCGCCGGTGCTAACAGCTAAGTTAGCAGAGCTAACGGAGTGCATTTTCTGTGCATGCGCATACCGTAGGCAGCTACGTTAGCAATTTAGGACGCTAGTTAATTTGATTTACACATCCTTTGTCTTGGTCTGCACGAGTCCCTTGGTTTTTAACTATCGTGCGCAGGTGCCATGCCAATTGACTAACGTTAGCTTGAATTATAGCACTTAGCTATGTTTGCAACGTGAAAATAATTGAGTTAGCGGGCTGGTATTTTCTCGAAATCGTTTTGCCTTATATAGTGCACATGTGCGACCACTGCATTCATGGCCCCACCCTGGTTTTTGGTGCAAAGGGCATTTTTGAACGTTTTCACTACTGCACACATTAGCCAACTAGCTATTAAATGTCTATCCAGAGTAACTTTATTTAGTGATGGGTATAACAAAATCAGACGAAGATGAAAAATAGTCAGGGGTGTCACCGTTATTCCGCGAGCTATCACTAGCTAAAGGTTTTGCATGCGGGCCTTTTGTCGTTGGCACGACGTTCTTCCTGGTTTCTACGCATCAAGTTTTGACAAGTGGTGCGTCGGAACGAAACGCACGAGATGCTCGCGAACGACCAAATAAATCTACTGTAGCCTACTACTCAATAAACAATTCGTTTTTAATGTGTAACTCACACCTAGGTAGGCTTAACCCTGAATAAACTTGCCGAATTATCAACATCGTGCTTGGACGGAAGCGCACATTCCAGTTTTTATATTGTCATGCTTTACACATTAGATTCACTTTAATGTTAATTTAGCATTTCTATGACATTTCTGGGGGGAATCTCGATTACATTACATTTACTCGACTGATTAGAGCTATCCTATTTTCCCACTTGCTGTTCATTTGTTGGGCCTTTATCATGTACCATTGATCATATGAATAATGTATTACAACATGACATCAATGCGTTGGTTGTATTGTATATGATGAATGAATGGTCACTGTGTTGAACACGATTGGCATCTGTTCCTGCCGAGTAGTGAGATGGCTGAGGGAAGAGCCGGTTCCGTCGTAAAAAAGCCCAGCTATGTATCCGAGGGCCCACAGTAGTCTTCAGTGCCCTATGGGTGCAGTTGGACCGATTGGACACTGCAGGAAAAACGAACCAAAATCATTGGGTGAAATTATGTATTGTTCATTACAGCTACTTGGTGAAGGATTTTGTTTATAATTCATTTCAAGTTAATTGGAATAAAAACATATTGATGTCATTTTTCACAACAGAAAGGCTCATTACTTTGCGTTTCCATCTAATATTTACCCCAGTGTTTTACCCAAAAGGCTCAGACTATTCTGTTTCCATCAACGCTAGGTGACTCACTGGGCCATGGCTCCAGTGGACCTGCTCTGACTTGGGGCCCAATGCCAGGCCACTGGTACTTTTCAGTTAGCATATACATAACAATGGCTTACTGTGAATTTAACACCCAGCAAAGCAACTGTCTAAATGATGCAGAGGTTGTTGTTTCTGTTCGCCCAAAGTCTTTAGTGTCACAACTGATGTGAACACAATTACACTAGAGCAACATTAACATAAAACACTGGAGACAGACTGGTGTGAGTTAGGTTTTAGGTGGAAGTGCAGCAGAAGCGAAGATTAGTCTCCAGAGCTACCTTTGGGTTTGCAGTCAGGAACCTGACATGGCTGTGTTTTTTTATCCTGTGCAGTTACTTGAACCTTGACTTTTGGCAACATTCCGGGGTATTTTATGGCAGGAAGGAAAGGATCTCTGTTGCTCAGAGAAGAATATGATTTCTGCATGGAGGGACTAAAAGGGTATAATCTTCACTGGCCCATGGATTTGGTCTTTTCACACAGGTATCCCAAGTCAGCTCTTTAGTCTGTGATGTGACTTGCTGCAGTGTGAAGAAACATGCATTGTCTGAAGAGCTCTCAAAATGATAAAAGGAGTGCTCATTGTTTTGGAAGATGGCAGGATTTAGTGAAGCTGCATGGCGATTTGCTGCTGTTTGCAAACACTGGCCTCTTCACCCTCGGTAGGGGGCCCCTGCCCTTCCTAGAGTAAACGATTGCCATGGAAGTCTGCCCCGGCAGCGCTTTATAATTATTTGGTAGTCATTTCCCTCCTGTTCAGGACGTCACTAATCCAAATGTGTGTCCAAACTCTCTGGGCTCATCACTAGATTAGATCCTGAGCCCAATGTGGTCTCTCTCACACAGGCCCTGGCCATCAACACGCCCAGAGAAAACATGCCCACACCCTTCACACACAAATTCCTTCAAAGTGGGTCACTACACAGTGGCAGGGCTCTGGAAGGCATGAAGCGTCGCTCTGGATAAGAGCGTCTGCTAAATGACGTAAATGTAAGCGACTCTCAGGCCAGGAGCGCCATTTTTAATGGAAGCTTCCTCTGCTGTATGGATGTGGCTTTACTTGAGGAAAGGAATGTCTAGTCTACCTGATTTTAGCAGAAGGTGGGGTGAATGGATTGGCCAAAACCTTTCCAGATGGGGAGGGATGTTACAGCAAGCTTTTTGACACTTGGTCGCATCCTCTGCCCGGTTCCTGCATGGGTTGACGTTATTCCTGTTGGGTAAAATGCCCTAATGGAAATTAGAAGACTAGAGGTTTATAGGGCTGTTGTGACTCAGGGATGTGGCCTGTTTTTATTTCCCACAGAGGATCCATTGTCTGAGACCGACCCATGCGTTCTAAGGCTTGATTCCTGTCCCCACCTTCACTCCCATGGCTTCTTTACAGCAGTTACTTACATGGCATGGCTATCTCACGTCCTGTAAACTTTTAGTTTTATAGGAGGAGGGGAAAAACCCTCCCTTTTGTAACTTTGGTTTTATCTGCCCCTTTGAGCCGCTTCAGAGCCACACCTTTTACTGGCCCTTATTGGGCAGTGGCAAACTACCAATACACACCTCTTACTCATCGGGGGGGGGTGGGAAAAGGGTTAAAAAAGCCCTCCGTTTTTTCTAAATGCCACTCCTTCTGAGTCATGCTGTTCTGGTCAATGCCATGGATGGTGACTCGTATAGTCCCCATTAACTTGACTGATCATGTGGGTAGAGGTCATAGAAACATAGGATTGCAGTCTGGCTTATGGGGCCCCCCACCCATAGGACCAATGGGCAGTCGTTCATAACTGCAAGTCATTGTGCAGCTACCTCCCTATCGATTGCCTTTTATCAGCTATCCTTGAAGGGTGCATTCTTGCAGTGTAATAAGTCTCAGGCCCCCTTCCAATTTCTTCTCTCAGTGTTTTCTGTCCTGTCACACTCCTGTGCTGGCCATTAGGACTGGATAACCTCTTGGAGCTGGAGTTTTTTTTTTGGTGATCAGTCGCTATTGATTAAATTGGCTTGAATGGTTCATGAAGCCTGGGTTGCTGCAGACCAATGTTCAGCTTTTTTCTCCCTCATCCCTCGGATGCATATATGATTAATCTCTATCTGTCTGTCTCTGCGCAGGCTTCCGGGGTGACAGTGACAGATGATGTTATCACAGTCTTCAACGAGATGAAGGTGCGCAAGTTGCAGGCTAACGAGGATGAGAAGAAGAAGAGGAAGAAGGCAGTGCTGTTCTGCCTTAGTGAGGACAAGAAGCACATCATCCTGGAGGAGGGTCAGGAGATCCTAACAGGAGACGTGGGCGTCACCGTCCAGGACCCCTACCTGCACTTTGTCAAGATGCTGCCCGCAGACGACTGCCGCTACGCCCTCTACGACGCCACCTATGAGACCAAGGAGACAAAGAAAGAGGACCTGGTCTTTATCTTCTGGTGAGGAGAGAGGGGGAGCTTGGCTAGCCTGGGGGGGCAGGCTGAGGAGGGGGGCATCGTCGTACATTTTCTTGTATGGTGTCACTTGTTGAATATTAAATCACTTGACTTCTACACTCGGGACATTAGTTAAACCATTTCCCCTCCCTCACAGGGCCCCAGATGGTGCTCCCCTGAAGAGCAAGATGATCTACGCCAGTTCAAAGGATGCCATCAAGAAGAAGTTCACAGGTGAGGCACTGACAGTTGCAGATGGAAGAGACCTATTGGGCTCTGGGTTCTCTTAACATTAAATGCCATATCCTTGCTTAAGCTTCCAGCTCTGTGTGGTTGAAAGACATACTTTTCTTTGTGTTAATATGCAAAGGTTCATTTGGAAGGGATGTAAATACAGCAATTTAACTTTTATTTAAAAAAGGTAAGGATGCCACCAAGTACTCTCACTATTCCCCTCTATCTTTGATAAACACAGATATTAAACTATTTTCAAAAATTGTAGTCTCAACTTACTTACCCAAATTGGTACATCCGGACCAAAGCAGGTTTGTTAAACAATTATTCTCAGATAACCTCAATCTTTTACATATCTTACATGCTTCTTTAGAAACCAAAGCTCCTTGGGCAGTTCTATCTCTCAAAGCAGAAAAGGTTTTGATAGACTAGAATGGTCATATCTTTGATCCGTTTTGGAACATAAGGAACTTGGTTCCAATTTCATTAATATGATTAAAAGACTATATGCCAAATCCCTTAGCTATAGTAATTACGGGCAATACATGCACTGTTCCGTTCAGAATAACTAGAAGTAGCAGGCAAGGTGATCCCATCTCACCTCTGCTATTTTTGTCTATGGAGCCCCTGGCCCAGGCAATTTGACAATCGAAAGAAATTACACCAATATCTCTAAATTCTATGGATCACGTCATCTCATTATACGCCGACGATATCTTTCTTTATCTGGACATTTGTATCTCAATCCTTCCCAAAAGCTTTGAAGATCATAGACAAATTCAGCGTAATCTCAAGTTACAGTATAAAGTTAATCTAACCTCTGTAGCTCAATTGGTAGAGCATGGCGCTTGTAACGCCAGGGTAGTGGGTTCGATCCCCAGGACCACCCATACCTAAAAATCCACACATGACTGTATGTCGCTTTGGATAAAAGCGTCTGCTAAATGCCATATTATTATTATTATTATTATTATTATTAAATAAGCCCTACTGCCTCTTAAGACCCCGATGGAGGTCTCCATCTCTACTTATGGAATCCCAATTGTTACCAATTTTAAATATTTGGGAATAGATATATAAATTGTCTAACTTTAACAGAAAGCTCAAACAATTCAATCTGACCTCAGTAGATGGACAAATATCCCTGTTGCTTTAACAGGCAGAATATCTATTGTCAAAATTAATATTGCCATGGCTGAATTTCTGTAGTTCAATGCTTCCCATGTCTTCCCCCTTCTGGCTATTGGGATAAAATCCATAGTGCAGTCTCAAAATGTATATGGCAAGATAAGCGAGGCCTGATAAAATTAACACACTTGCAAAGATGGAAAGATGTAAAGATGTAGAACTATCCGTACCAAACTTTAAGTTGTATTTCCAGGTACTAGGGTTTCGTCCCGTCCTAAATTGGTTTAGACATGATTCCTTCGTCCTCTGGCTGAGTATATTGCCCTGGAAGAGGTGGTCTTCACTGATATATCCCTTAAACAATGTAAACTACGCTTTGGTCCTATTATTGCTCACAAAATTGAAATACAGTGTAACTGGGAATCAAAATGGCACGGCCATCTTCCAATATTTTACAATGCCTTGCAATCTGGAGGGTGGCCTTTTGCATCCCCCCCCAATGGTCCAAATGTGGAATCTGTACCCTTACCGATATCATGGACAGCAATGGTTTGAGAACATTCCAAGATGGGAAAGACCTACACATTACCAGGCAATTCCATTTTTTATATGTTTACGACTTAGGTCAGCTATGGTGTGCAACTCAATATTAGGAAGGTGTTCCTAATTGTTTGTGTACTCAATGTATATCTATTTTTTTTAATTTCACGCCTACAGGGAAGGGGTGGTATGGGGAGGGTTTTCTCTGGTTGCCTGGAGGTGGGGTGGGAGGATGGATCTATGTTATTGATGGTCTATGATCTGAACCCCTTATAGGGGGACATTTTTAAAATATTAAAACATTTGTCAAAAAAACTATGCTGTGTCTCCCATGTGACGCTAAATTTCCCCTCCGTTTTTATTTCAGGTATCAAACATGAGTGGCAAGTGAACGGTTTGGAAGACATCAAGGACCGACGCACCCTTGCAGACAAGCTCGGAGGCTCATCGGTAGTCACCCTGGAAGGAAGCCCTATATAAATCTAGCCCCGGGCTTCAACTGAAGCCAGACACATCCGAGGGGTTTGGCTGTTCATTCCAATATGGTTGGGAGGCGGGGCAGAGCAGGACCAGGATCATTTGTGGGACTGTTGGGGGGGAGGGGGGTTGTGGGAGGGGGGTGGGGTGAAAGTGACAGTTTTCAAATTCCACAACTGCAGGCTGTCATTCCAGTTCACACAACACAATGAAAATGAACAAAATACACAGAAAAAAATAAATACAAAATTGATGAAGGATGATTATGAAGACTAAATACACAATGTAAATGTTTGAGGACAGGGTTTTGTTCTTTCTGGATTCCATTAGAATGACGATGGCAGAGAAAGGGACAGGGCAACAACTCTACAATTCCAACTATTGAATCCTGCAAGATAATATTCTTAATTATACAACTACTTTTTTTTGCCAAACTTTTAGTTAAGTATTCTAAGTGTGTAGTTGAGACTAGGTGTAGTACAAAACAATTTACTCTTGATCGATTTGCACAAGATTCATCAACCTACTCCAGGGGAACACGTTTGCATTATTATTTTTTATTTTTTACATGCAAATTCCAAAACGTTTGAAGAGTTTCCAGTTCTGAGTAAAAAACATGGCATTGATGTAATAATTTAACACATTCCTTATACTTGTTAAACAACAGGATCTGGTGGGGTTAGAAGTCTGAATTGGGTAGTGTGAAGGTAAGATGGGGAGCGACGTATTTGAACAGCCTGTGTTCAGAACTTGGACTGGTATTGAATGGTGGATGTTTTGTATGGTCTCCTTGTCTCTAATAAAAAGGCACTAAACGCGTAACTTTACTGCACCTTTTTTCGTCTAGTGATTGAGGAGTGGCAAGCTAATAAGGTTGATAATTTATCCTGTTCAAATGAAGAATGTGCTGTGTTTTTGCTTGATTCCTATTGAGTCACAGTGGCCTGGTTAATACATCTGCATAAATTGTCACGATAGAATACTGTTGATCTATTGAAAAAAAATGGAATGGTTGTCGCAGCAACCTGCTTACATGAGGCCACTGTGGTGATGTTTCTTATTTGTAACTGGGGAATTCGTTTTTTTTCTTAGTATTCTGTGCCATAACTATCCACTTGATTTAATTTAGCTATTTTATGTTAGAAATTGTAATTTTGAAACGTAAGCAAATTGAAGGTAGAATAAGCGATATGACTAAAATGCAGAAAGTGAAAGCTGCGTAGTAGGTTAATTTCCACACCATCTAAGGGCGTTGAAGCGCTGTTTTGGTGCCCTGTCTACCACGCTGTGAAAGGCGTGAAGCGAACCCATGCGCATGTACTGTCAGAGCGATTTGTTGCATATCGCTCTTTTTAATATCTGTTGTGCTGCTCGTGGCAACATAATTTCGTTGAGTCTACCTTTTTAAAGTGGTTTAAAAAATACCACTGAACAAAAATATAAATGCAACAATTTCAGTTACAGTTCATATAAGGAAACCAGTCAATTGAAATGAATTAGGCCCTATTCTATGGATTTCACTTGACTGGGAATACAGATATGCATCTGTTGGTCACAGATACCTTAAAGGTAGGGGCGTGGATCAGAACCAGGATCTGGTTTGACCACCATTTGCCTCATGCAGCTCAACATATTTGATCAGGCTGCTGTTTGTGCACTGTGGAATGTTGTCCCATTCCACTTCAATGGCTGTGAAGTTGCTGGATTTTGGTGGGAACTAGAACATGCTGTCATACACGTCGATCCAGAGCATCCCAAACATGCTCAATGGGTGACATGTCTGGTAAGTATGCAGGAATTTTGTACAGATCCTTGCAACATGGGGCCTAGCATTATCATGCTAAAACATGAGGTGATGGCAGTGGATGAATGGTACGACATTGAGCCTCAGGATCTCGTCACAGATTAAAATTGCCAGTGATAAAATGCAATTGTGTTTGTTGTCCATAGCTTATGCCTGCCGATACTATAACCCCATCGCCACCATGGGGCACTATGTTCACAACGTTGACTTCCGCAAACCGCTCACCCACACAATGCCATACATGCCATCTGCCCGGTACAGTTGAAACCGGGATTCATTCGTAAAGAGCACACTTCTCCAGCGTGCCGGTGAGCGTTTGCCTACTGAAGTCAATTATGACGCTGAAATGCAATCAGGTCAAGACCCAGGTGAGGATGACGAGCACGCAGATGAGCTTCCCTGTGACGGTTTCTCACAGTTTGTGCAGAAATTCTTCGGTTGTGCAAACCCACAGTTTAATCAGCTGTCCGGGTGGCTGGTCTCAAGACGATCCCGCAGGTGAAGAAGCCGGATGTGGAGGTCCTGGGCTTGCGTGGTTACACGTGGTCTGCGGTTATGAGGCCGGTTGGGCGTACCACCAAATTGTCTGAGGCGGCTTATAGTAGAGAAATGAACATTCAATTCTCTGGCTACAGCACTGGTGGACATTCCTGCAGTCAGCATGCCAATTGAGACATCTGTGGCACTGTGTTGTGTGACAAAACTGCACATTTTAGAGTGGCCTTTTATTGTCCTGAGCACAAGGTGCCCCTGTGTAATGATCATGCTGTTAAATCAGTTTCTTGATATGCCACACCTGTCAATTGGATGGATTAGCTTGGCAAAGGAGAAATACTAACAGGAATGTAAAGAAACGTGTGCACAACATTTGAGAGAAATGTGGTTTTTGTGCGTATGGAACATTTCTGGGATCTTTTATTTCAGCTCATGAAACTTGAGATCAACATTTACATCTTGCGTTTATATTTTTGTTCAGTATATATAAAGAGACACTGGCATCATGCATCCTAAATATATTTGTATACTGACCACAAGAGGGCACTCTAACTCCACTTCTGAAAAGTGGATTCCATTTTACAGTAGCAAGTCATTCTTTGTATACCCGCTGGTTTCCATAACACAAGAACTATGACAAGCAATCATGATAGAAATCTCAGTTTATTAAAATAGATATAGGCATTTTCAAAAAATTAAATTATTACCATCATTCTGATTTCCCTGCCCCCCCTAATCCGCTCAAAAGCAAGTTGGATATGCTGCCAGCATTCAGAGTAAGAAACCCCCTCCTAGGTTTTTAGAATGTCCTTTATTGATTTCACCATCTATACCTTTGAGCCTTTTCGACAAGTTTGGTGTATTGAGGCTCAGTATGTTTTCAGTGTGGCTAGGTATGCCTCTGTGGATCATTGGGGACAAGTATGCCTTTTAACAGGTGTCTTTCTAATACAATGAGAACAAAATCGTTCACATTCTTGGAGACATTACCTAAACAAATAAACCGTCCCCTCACCACGTCTTTGTAAATTCAACTCCACACCCATACATTTGATCCTAAGTGTTGAAAATCATGCGGTCGCGGTATTATAGAGTACAATGGCAGAGTATTATATATACAAAGAAAATAAGTCCAGTACTTCCCTCCATTGGCTAAAGCTGGTCAGTACATTGTAGAAAATGAAAGGCTCCTACCACAGTTATAAAACAGGAGAGACGGGGAGCATGCAAGGAAAGGATCAGTGTTTTTATTTTCCCTCTAATAAAAGTGGTTCTGTTTAATACAGTGGAAATATCGACTCAGTGTTGTGAAGCTGACCAGGAGGAAAAGTGCATAGAAAGTTGCTGTGATGATAGCAGCAGTGTTAGAAAGGAGGCATAGACCCCGACAAAGGACCGAGTTACGTCTGAGACAGAAAAAATTAACATTCACTGAGGGAAAGGGACATTCCTGCACTTTCCAGAGTAAGGGACAGTCACAGTGGTTGACGCCTTTCCAAGGAAAACATGTTATGGCGCATGGAGGTTTAGCAGTCCTATTTTCTTAGATAGTATTGTAGATTTTAAATCTTTATTAGGATTAAATCCAGTTTCGCTCTTGCCCGTTACAGAATGAGTTGGGGAGTAATTTCCTCTCCACATCTCCTTTAAGGGAATTTGTGCTTACTTTAATCACTTTTCAGTCATGGCCTCCATCTTCTCTTAGTTCATCCCGTCTCCCCTTCTCTCCCTCAGTCCTGGCTACAGTCCACTCGGTTCCCATGCACCCAGTAACAGATCTGGGCAAACTTCAGCGGGGTGAATCTCACAGCCACGTTGTAGTCGCGGTTCTCCCCGTCAATTTCCAGCCACTGGTGTCCAGAGAAGATGCCGATGACTTTCCTCTCCCAGCGCTCCAGAGCCGTGTCCCACACACGGCCGTACACCCCCGAGCCGCTGGCCCCCGGCCGGGCATCACAGTGCTGGTAGATCAGGTCGTTAGACTCGTCCTCCACAGGACAAAAGCGGTAGACCAGCTCCCCTGGCCTATCACTGTCAAACCCAGAGAAGTGGATGCGTTTCCCTGCCAGGTCGTCAGAGGAAGGAGCCACAGACAGACGCATGAAGGGCCGACGGTGGGGCCAGCGCAGTTCCAGGAGGGCGTAGTCAAAGTCCATGCTGACCTCCTGGGGGCCCTGGATCCAGCCTTTGGGGACACGAGTGCTTTTGACCCGGACCCAGCGCACCAGGTGCTTCTTGGTGGGGGTCTGGCTAGGCTTGGTGCCGTTGATGTACGGAGGAGTCAGGAAGCCCACCCTCAGCTTACGGGCTCCCTTGACGTAATCCTTCCCATCATGCACGCAGTGGGCAGCGGTCAGAACGTGGCGTTGAGACACCAGGACCCCGGTGCAGCCGGTGGAGATCCTCACAGCTGTGGAGAATGGGTAGTCCAACAGGAAGTGGTCACCGCGGATGTTGAAGCGACCATCAGCCCCGTAGATCTGTCGTTTCTGACGCCTGTGCCTACTGGTAACTCTCCGTCTTCTCATTAGTGATGGTTGAATGGCAGCACTGATAGTGCCCTCATAATCATCCTCGTCCTCCACATCCATAGTGGTGAGGGTACGAGAACCATCCGCATAGAGCGTCTCGAAGGCCAGATGCTCACTCAGGTGCTCTAGCCTGCTCTCTTGCTCTCCCTTGTGGTAGCAGCTGGCGTTGCAGTGAGTGGTGAAGTCCAATTGAGTCTCAGCACTGAAGCGAGAGCGGGAGAGGGGCAGGGGTACATGAGGCACCAGTGAGGGGAGGTGGACGGGATGTTGGTGAGGGAGGGCTCGGGATGACAGAGAGAGGGGGAGGAGGAGCGAGAGGAGCAGCACTGAGGTGGAGGGATGAGTCAGGCCAGAGTTTGGATGTGGAGACATGGTCGTTGAGCAAAACACTGAAATGAAAAACAGATACAACATTTAATCTACATTCCACCACAATACACAAAATAAAATAAACAAGGAATCCACTTATCCTTGAGGAATGGAATGGTATAGATTAACGAGGGACGACATGGACTTTGCAGAAACCCTGTTTGATTAATGACGCTTAAAAACAGGTCATCACTAATTAAACAAAATGGTGTGGAGATTAGAACACTGGCTTGTCTCCCTGATTTAAGTGAATCCTTCACAAACACTCACAACCTGAAATCCCCCATAAAAGCAGTCCACTCTCATTCTGACAGGTGGATTCCAAATCCCCTCCCTCAGAGCCTATACACGCGGGATCAGCTAACGCAGGTAACAATGCAGCTCTTGTTCCTGTCTATACTGTGGGCTATTCAGAAAATTGGATTTTAAACCCTGCTACAAGGGGCTGACAAGCATTAAAATATCAGTTCTGCTAGTGGCCTTAGTGCTTAAAGGGAGGTTTGATATACTAGCCTCAGGAGAGAAACATCTGATTATGTACACAAGATAAGTACAGATGGAAAGTAGGTGTTGGGGCACACATTGGATATCAGTCGTGGTGGAAAATATTACACTGCATATGGTTACACAGCCTATTTGTCTGCCAATTAACTTGTATCATAACATTTTTAATCTTGGCTACTGTGCTGTGTATGTGTGGGAGGATAGAAGGACTGAAGGGGACTGTATTACAGCTTGTTGAAAAGTGTCTCAAATCATATTTATGATAAACCTCTGGGGCAAGGTGGTGCCTGCCATCAAACATTAACTACCTTTCTATGTATGAGCGTGCTTGGCAGGCTCACAGGGACCAGGGGCACTCGATAGGTCTGAAAACTATGGACCCTCAGGCTCTAGTGGCCTAGAAGAGACAGGTGTCTAAAAGTGAAACGAGGCAAGTTGAGGCATGGACATACAGACAGGATTTGCCACACAAAGAGGGGGAAGGGCGGGGGCGATCACAGGCGATTCCCGCCACACAACTGTATTCTATATCATCATAGTGTAGCCAGAGAAGATACAGTTACTCAAAGGTGCTCATGTCTTGAACAGATGTAGCCTAGGGACTCCATTTTAGGGGTTATTCTGACCTACACTGCTATGCAGTCAAAAACAACTACACCCTTCTCTATCAGCAGTCCCCACACCCTGGTCTCTGATCTCTTCCACATTAAACATCTACATTTAGCCATCTTTAATAGGGTTCCATTCAATTTGCACTGACATTATTACAAACACATTGTCAGAGTACTTAACATGTGTCCACATCTAAATCTATTTTAAGAGGGCCTGGGGTAGCAGGGCTCTTAAAGTCTGTATAGACTGGGCCATTTATAATTTCCATGGTCTAAAACAGACTAGCTTTAATTGGGGATAGTGTGGGATAGCGTGTCGAGAAGAATCATACATCTAACCACACAAACCTATAATAAGGAAGCACTTGATGAAGGACACAAAATAAGCAATAACACAGTCCAACATATATCATGGTGAGTCCATTTTCCAAAAGTCTGTGGAGGGGTGAGTTTGGTTTGGGTGACCCTCCATTTTAAGTCCCAAAGTACACAACAGTAAACTGATCCCCACATTAGAAAGATCCTCCAGCTCTAACACATTGTAGAGCCAAACAGTGCCTAACAACCTTATGGAATCCTCTCTTAAACAAGGCACTGGACCTCAACTAACTGTCAACACTTTGCATCAGAGTAATGTCAAATGCACTTCAATTCCAGTCAATTTAATTAGGTATTTCCACCTGGATCCCATTTCTGACAACTGAAGGTTATAGCCCACTGATAGATGCTGAGAGTTTTTAACAAGCACCAATACACCTATATAAGCTACAAAGGCACACAAACATTCCAGTAATGGACCTCTGTACATCTGAAACCTGTCGGCATTCTACAGCTCACCTTTGACCCTTAAGTGAAGGCTCTGTAATTCTGAGAACAACCTGCTTCGCAGGGCCCAAGCTTTGTCCTGAAAGCCCCTCACTGGGTCTTTTGTCATTCACCAACATCATGAGTGATCGTAGTACTGTCCCATGTCCACTCCTCGGGTTGTTGTCAGACCCCAAAGACAACAGATGATGTTTACCTTGCCCTGTAACTATTGAGACGCACCAATACAGAGGAATAGTGCTAGGAGGCAGTATACTCAGCTTACTGAAAAATGCAGTGGGGCTGAGGGAAAAGGTAGGCTGTGGCTAAAGTTAATGTTTAACAATGCAAGATTCACTTACAGTAAGTAGTAGGCCTATCCAGTGGAGCAACATTAGATACTTTGTAACAGATTTCCCAGGTAAGAAAAGTAATCTTACAACGTGGCCTCTTGGTAACAAACCAGTTATAACTATATTCAAAATAATTATTAACAAATTATTAGTCTACTTACAATGAGTAAAACAATAAATGCACACAGTACCTTTTGTTAAACAGTTAAACAGAGTCTGTGTTTAAATCCTATCCAGGTTTTCGCCCCCTTCAAAACCACCGGGCATCTCAATTCTCCAGATACCTCCCATCTCTTCAGTGTGACAGGTATCCGTCTTTCTTCACAGTCCCGCAGAGAGCTGGTCGCCAGTTAAAATACGTATCCAAATCAATTCGGTCCAAGCAAAGTTTATCGATGAGAGTCAACTATAGGCTTGTGTTCCTACTCAATGTAACTGTCTGTCCCTGTGAGTCGCTTAAACGGCTGTTCGGTTCAAAGGCGCTTACAAATAACTGAAAATGTAACTGAAAATAAATTTAGAGGCGCTCTCCCTCGCGGTCCTAGCGCCCCAGCTGTACACAAAAGCCGTAGCATGTCTCAGCTGGATAAAAATCTGCTTTTAGGATGGTGAGAGTGAAGATTGGGACATTTTGAAGCCCTCAGCTCAAGATCATTGTATCCTCCAGCTGCAAAAAATCCCAAGTGAAACGGTAACTTTTTTCTCCTCTCCGGAGTAGTCCTTGGCACATGGGTTGGGAGTGAATCAAATGTGAAAAGCCTAAAGCTATATCAAATGCCACCTGCCAATTAGAGCCGAAGAGATGCTGAAAAACACACATTGCTACAGGCTCTTAAAAGTATTAGTCCCTGCAGGCTCGTGCACTACCTGCAGGCACGTGCACTACCTTTGCCAAGCACATGCACCTTTGCAATTCCAGTCTCCAAAGTGCCCTTTTGGTTGGTGGTATAATTTCCCCCCAAAAGTGTTGTATAGGCTATATTTCTTTGTCATTGTTGTTCAAAACCCATGGCCACAAGACGCCAAGTTTCTTCATTGTCTTTGTTTGGAGAGCATGTGTCCGTTTTCGCCATCTTGTCCAGTGTTATTTGAACGCGCAGAGATGTACCTGGCCTGCGCTCCAGAATATGTGTGCCTTCAGAAAGTATTCAAACCCCTTGACTTATTCCACATTTGTTGTGTTACAACTTGAATTAAGAATGGATTAAATATATTTTTTTCTCACCCATCTACACACAATACCCCATGATGACAAACTGAAAACATGTTTTTAGAAGTTTTTGCAAATATATTGAAATTGAAATACAGAAATATCTCATTTACATAAGTATTCACACCTCTGAGTCATTACATGTTAGAATCACCTTTGGCAGCGGTTATAGCTATGAGTCTTTCTGGGTAAGTCTCTAAGAGCCTTGCACACCTGGACTGTCAAATTGGTTCTTGATCATTGCTAGACAACCATTTTCAAGTTTTGCCATAGATTTTCAAGCAGATTTAAGTCAAAACTATAACTTGGCCACTCAGGAAGATTAACTGTATTCTTGGAAAGCAGCTCCAGTGTAGATTTGGCCTTGTGTTTTAGGTTATTGTCCTGCTGAATGGTGAATTCATCTCCCAGTGTCTGGTGGAAAGCACACTGAACCAGGTTTCCTTTAGGATTTTGCCTGTGCTTAGCTCTATTCCGTTTTTTTTTTATCCTGAAAAACTCCCCAGTCCTTAACGATTACAAGCATACCCATAACATGATGCAGCCACCACTATGCTTGAAAATATGGAGAGTAGTACTCAGTAATGTGTTGAATTGGATTTGCCCCAAACATAACACTTTGTATTCAGTACAAAAAGTTAATTGTATCGGGAGGATAGGTACAAAAGTATCTATATCCACAGTGAGGGAAAAAAGTATTTGATCCCCTGCTGATTTTGTACGTTTGCCCACTGAAAAAGAAATGATCAGTCTATAATTTTAATGGTAGGTTATTTGAACAGTGAGAGACAGAATAACAACAAAAAATCCAGAAAACATATGTAAAAAATGTTATAAATTGATTTGCATTTTAATGAGGGAAATAAGGATTTGACCCCTCTGCAAAACATGACTTAGTACTTGGTGGCAAAACCCTTGTTGGCAATCACAGAGGTCAGACGTTTCTTGTAGTTGGCCACCAGGTTTGCACACATCTCAGGAGGGATTTTGTCCCACTCCTCTTTGCAGATCTTCTCCAAGTCATTAAGGTTTCGAGGCTGACGTTTGGAAACTCGAACCTTCAGCTCCCTCCACAGATTTTCTATGGGATTAAGGTCTGGAGACTGGCTAGGCCACTCCAGGACGGTAATGTGCTTCTTCTTGAGCCACTCCTTTGTTGCCTTGGCCGTGTGTTTTGGGTCATTGTCATGCTGCAATACCCATCTACGACCCATTTTCAATGCCCTGGCTGAGGGAAGGAGGTTCTCACCCAAGATTTGACGGTACATGGCCCCGTCCATCGTCCCTTTCATGCGGTAAAGTTGTCCTGTCCCCTTAGCAGAAAAACACCCCCAAAGCATAATGTTTCCACCTCCATGTTTGAAGGTGGGGATGGTGTTGGGGTCATAGGCAGAATTCCTCCTCCTCCAAACAAGGCGAGTTGAGTTGATGCCAAAGAGCTCCATTTTGGTCTCTGACCACAACACTTTCACCCAGTTCACCTCTGAATCATTCAGATGTTCATTGGCAAACTTCAGACGGGCCTGTATATGTGTTTCTTGAGCAGGGGGAACTTGCGGGCGCTGCAGGATTTCAGTCCTTCACGGCGTAGTGCGTTACCAATTGTTTTCTTGGTGACTATGGTCCCAGCTGTCTTGAGATCATTGACAAGATCCTCCTGTGTAGTTCTGGGCTGATTCCTCACCGTTCTCATGATCATTGCAACTCCACGAGGTGAGATCTTGCACACTGAAAAAGGTCTGTGCATGGCTCTGAGTCCCTGATAGCCTACAGTTGCCAAAAAAGCAACAGACATGGACTTACTAAGCAGGCTATAATGTAGGCTACTACAGTATATTAAATCAAATCAAGCTTTATTTATATAGCACATTTCAGACATGGATGCAACGCAATGCGCTGCACAAGAAAAACAAATAAATAAAACAAAACAATAAAACATTTACTACACAACAAACATCTGAGGATAAAAAACTAAATAATAATAAAAGCTGAAAGACTAAAAAGCACACTACGGAAAAGCACAGCTAAAAAGGGGTATTTGAAGATCCCTTTTAAATATGTCCACAGTTTCGGCCCCCCTCAGGTTCTCTGGCAGGCTATTTCAGAGGCTGGGGTCATTGTAACTAAAGGCTGCCTCTCCATGCCTCTTGGTCCTAGGTTTTGGGATAGTTAATAGGCCAGTGCCAGAGGACCTGAGGGACCTACTGGGTACATAACTAAAAAGCATGTCTGACATGTATTGAGGTGCACAATCGTGGATTGATTTAAAAACAAATAGATGAATCTTAAAATATATTCTAAAACTCACAGGCAGCCAGTGCAGAGACCTTCAAACCGGTGTAATGTGTGCCATCCATTTGCTTATCATGCAAGCGGTTTCCAGTGGTCCATGTGGATTATCCCTGACTCAGAACAAAACACAGTAATTAAGGTATCTGCAACATTTTCCATCATATACTGTAGAATTTGATGAAACACCTGAACGAAGACACATTTATCGTTATTAGTGGATCGAGTGATTATAGCCCACAGGCAGGCAGAGGAATTCCTGAGATGTTGGGGCATGTTTTGGTAGTGATGGTGGTGTTCATTGTTCATCCATTCCCTGCCCACATTCCATTCAGATTTACCCCCTGACCTTAATATTTTTGGGGGTATCATCAGGCCCTATGTGAACATGTCCCAGTTCACTTTCCCAGTGTCCATCCACTGGCGCTGAAACAGAGGTCTCACTCACAGGCACTTTCTGGAATGCTGTGGAATCTACCAGCAAGGACACAAGTCAAGTTCTCTCAACACAATGTGTCTGCTGTTGTCCTCAAGTGGGTGTGCATGCATCCTAACTGTGAATCTCACACATACCTAGCAAAGGTTTACACTTTGACCTCTTATCCCCCCACCTTGAACTATTTTGGTATGGTTCATCACTAGGGCCCTGTGTTTTGGTTAATCATTTAACATGACCTGGATTTTAACCTTCATTTAAAGATTTTCCATCAAACTAATCACCTTTTCTTTTTATGTCAGATGGTCCAGCACCATCCTCAGACAATTGCTTACATTTTTGGTCTAATTCTCATTTATGGAAAAGGCTTAAAATAAAGGTTTAAATCCAGGTCAAAGCACAGGGCCCAACCCCATCACAGATTGCCTTATGCCTCCAGGAGCTGGAATATGAGATAGATTCATGAGTTTTTCACATTAACAAGCGACCAGCAGTCTGTGTTGGTAATACAGTGCATTCGGAAAGTATTCAGACCCCTTGACCTTTTCCACATTTTGTTACGTTACAGCCTTATTCTAAAATGGATTAAATTGTTTTTTCCCCCTCATCAATCTACACAAAATACCTCATAATGACAAAGCAAAAACAGGTTTCTAGAAAATTTTGCACATTTATAAAAAATAAATAAAATGAAAATATGACATTTACATAAGTATTCAGACTCTTTACTCAGTACTTTGTTGAAGCACCTTTGGCAGCGATTACAGCCTTGAGTCTTCTTGGGTATGACGCTACAAGCTTGACACACCTGTGTGGTCCTCTATAGCTCAATTGGTAGAGCATGGCGCTTGTAACGCCAGGGTAGTGGGTTCGATTCCCGGGACCACCCATACGTAAAAATGTATGTGCACATGACTGTAAGTCGCTTTGGATAAAAGCGTCTGCTAAATGGCATATTATTATTATATTATTTGGGGAGTTCCTCCCATTCTTCTCTGCAGATCCTCTCAAGCTCTGTCAGGTTGGATGGGAAGCGTCGCTGCTGTTCGATTGGGTTCATGTCCGGGCTCTGGCTGGGCCACTCAAGGACATTCAGAGACTTGTCCCAAAGCCACTCCTGCGTTGTCTTGGCAGTGTGCTTAGGGTCATTGTCCTGTTGGAAGGTGAACCTTCGCCCCAGTCTGAGGTCCTGATCACTCTGTGGCAGGTTTTCATAAAGGATCTCTCTGTACTTTGCTCCGTTCGTCTCCCAGTCCTTGCCGGCCAAAGAGTTGAATCTTGGTTTCATCGGACCAGATAATCTTGTTTCTCATGGTCTGAGTCCTTTAGGTGCCTTTTGGCAAACTCCAAGCGGGCTGTCATGTGCCTTTTACTGAGGAGTGGCTTCCGTCTGGCCATTCTACTATAAAGGCCTGATTGGTGGAGTGCTGCAGAGATGGTTGTCCTTCTGGAAGGTTCTCCCATCTCCACAGAGGAACTCTGGAGCTCTGTCAGAGTGACCATCGGGTTCTTGGTCACCTCCCTGGCCAAGGCCCTTCTCCCCTGATTGCCCAGCTCTAGGAAGAGTCTTAGTGGTTCCAAACGTCTTCCATTTAAGAATGATGGACGCCACTATGTTCTTGGGGACCTTCAATGCTGCAGAAATGTTTTGGTACCCTTCCCCAGATATGTGCCTTGAAACAATCCTGTCATGGAGCTCTATTGACAATTCCTTCAACTTCATGGCATGTGTTTTGCTCTGACATGCACTGTCAAATGTGGGACCTTATATAGACAGGTGTGTGCCTTTCCAAATCATGTCCAATCAATTGAATTTGCCACAGGTGGACTCCAATCAAGTTGTAGAAACATCTCAAGGATGAGCTCAATTTCGAGTCTCATAGCAAAGGGTCTGAATACTTATGTAAATAAGCTATTTCTGTTTTTTATTTTGAATACATTTGCTAAAAAATCTAAAAACCTGTTTTCACTTTGTCATTATGGGGTATTGTGTGTAGATTGATGAGAAAAAATATATATTTGATCTCTTTTAGAATAACGCTGTAATGTAACAACATTTGGAAAAAGGGAAAGGATCTGAATACGTTCCGAATGCACTGTATATGGCTTTTCTGATGCAACCATCTTCTCTTCTAAAGCTCCAGGGATATGTCGAGATAACAGGACATTGAGGCCAAAGTTATGGTCAATTACAAGAGTTTGCCTGGCAATAGAAGCCACATTAAACTGGGAATGATAATGAAGGGGTCTTATATCTTGTTGGTAGAGGCAGCCCAGATGGTGTAAATGTGTCAGGCTGCAGCCAAGCCGTCTCCACTGATGGTATCACTCTGGCTTTGGGCAAACATGAACTGTGTCACAGCAGGAGAGAGAGATTTCCTCTGTGTGTGTTTGGCATCAAAACTACTAAGATTCCTAATCTCCTTTTTCTAGTTCCTTATCTAGTTTTTCCTCTCACACACTCATACCTCCCTGACATTGACTCTACAATCATACATGTAAGAACAATATTGAACATCAACAGACCAATTTGAAGCATTCGTCATATTTCAATAAGATTTGGGATTTTTCTCAGCATTGTCTATTTTTCCACCTTCGTCCTGTTCCACCTCTCTTTCAGCGTGTGTAATTAGGAGGCCCTAATGAGATGCTGTAAAAACAAAACAATTCTGCAGGAATCCGGTCTCCGGACTGTCGCCTGCCAGGAGTACAGTGGAACGGTTGTTCCTGGCCCGACCTGGGATTCACGGTTCACCCAGGAGAGAGACTAACAGGGAGGAGGGTGCTTTGTAAAAACGTTATGGTCCTGTAAAATGTTGAAAACAGCTCCGTTTGAAGAGTACTGCCTCCACACACTGGTCCTGAGGGTTAGTGGCCCCTCTCTCGTCCCCTCTCTTCCTGAACCATTCGAACTCTTTCCTAGATGATTCAGTTGAACCAACAAAGTCCCCCACGGGACACGGCTGTCTTCATCGTTTGTGTATGACCACTCTTCAGGGAGACTGTTATTAGTCTGTCAACCCAAGCCGGGAGAAATGGGAATGTGAGTTAAAAACACAGAGTATGAAAATGTAACTATTATGTTATACATTTTACAATTGTACATTTTAGTCATTTAGCAGACGCTCTTATCCAGAGCGACTTACAGTAGTGAGTGCTTACATTTTTCATACTGATAAGCGGTTACATTGGTGTTTGCCTAACTTCCCTGTTTCGTGTTTGTTTAGGGTTTGCTAATATATCCTATTACTTATGGCAGTCAGAGTTTGAGGCAAAGCGGATTCAGCCGGGAGGAAACAGTAAAGATTCCAGATGAGTGAGTTCACGCTGGGTATGTGTGAGTAGGCATACCTCAAATTTCCATGGAAATGGTCTGCCGTGGTAGGCGCAAGTCAAAGCCTGCACATCCATACTGTACAAACACCCTGCTCATACCCTATAAGCTTTTCCTTATGGGCAAACAGAGGGGAGTTCTATAGGATTTTACGGAGATTACAGTATCATAAGAGCCTTTTATGGTAACGGTGAAGCTCTCATTCAAAAAGCATTGTAATCTATACACTATGTCTCTCACAGGTTGGTTATAACCTCTGGCATGGTCAGTGTGCAGCTGGACACACACACACACACACACTCCCTTTGCCCATGTAGTTCCACCGTGGTGGGCCTGGGGATCAGACCTTGTGTAATCACTTAGCTGACATGCAGGCCAGCCCCACGACAGTTCTCCAAGCAAACAGGGATTATTAACAAGATCACAGGGGTTTTCTCTGTACTCTTTAATCCGATAATTGACTTCAGATTCAAGCCAGTGATCTGGGCCTCACAACAGTAGAATGAACCTTTCATAACAATGGCCGTAGATCTTGACCCCCTTACCGCCTTAGCCCGCTGTCACTAACCATTCTCAATGTACTCCTTGGAATTCATAGCCTCCAGAGTGTAACTCTTTTAGAGTGCTGAGCTGTGAACACAAACAATGTCCCCTTTCTGCGCTCACTCTCTAGCACTCCGGTATTTTATGGTTCTCTTTTATGGTTATATTTATAACTCCCCCTTCCTCCTTTTCTCATCAAAGTCCTCCCCATCTGTCTGTTAGTTCATATAGTAGTTCTCTCCTTTCGTTTCCCTATCCCTTGTAAAAATCTACCTCGGTCTGCGTTTCATCCATAATCATGAAGACCACAATGAAATTCCTTTTCTAAATGCCTTTTATGTGGATTCTCATGAGTTTTTATGTACAGTAGGCCTACTGTATGTTTTTCACATACAATTAACCTCTCATGTGACCCTATAATGTATGCCCTCAAATAAATCACTTGATCCCTCTCTCCTTTTCTCCCAACTCTCTTTTTGTGTCTCTCCCCCTGTCCTCCCTGGCTCCCTTTCTCTGTGTCTCCCTGTACCTCTCCTCCCGCCGGTCCCCAGTCCTCCTGCAGGGCCTACAGGTTACGTCTTCAGCCCTGCTTCCCCGTCTGCATGAGGTCATTTGGCAGTGAACAGGAAGTTATGTGAAAACACAATTAGCAAAACAGCAATAAGGAATGCAAGCTAGAATCACATTTTATCACTTTGAGAGAGATGAGGAGACGAGTCCTTAACCAGCTCGGGCATGGTGAAGGGTGTGGGAGACAATAGTTTGGAAACTGTCCTAAAACTGTATCCTGTCACTCCACATCAACCTCTAGCCTTAACAACCCTCATCTCCATGTTTGGGCTGGAGCCATGGAAACTAGAGGGTGATCTAGGGGTCTAATCCAGTGAGGTCAACCCAAGTCTATGGATCAACCTGATCAGATCCAACCATAACTAGCAGGAAGTCTGAATGGACAGAATCTATCTTGTTTTCCATATAAAGCTAGATGGAAGATGATTATACATTTGCCTCACTGGGTCACTGGGTCACTGAATGAGATCCTGAATTTGTATTAGGAAGAAAGTACACAGATAATTTGTTTATGGGTCTCTCATTTTCCTAGAACCCTCTATGAAGGTTTCTACCGAGAACCCTTTTATCTTTGAAGGGTTCCTCCTGTAGCCCTCTATGAATGGTTCCACCAGCCTTATTAGCATTTCAAATTCAACTCTTTATGAAATATATCATAAAGCCTTTCTTTGAGGGCCTAGTTATACCCTTACACAGTGGTGTTAGGAAACTCCTGGTTTACAGGCCAGATCAGGCTTGCAAGTCACATTATGCTGGCTTGCAAAGGGATGTGTAGTTCCAATTGGAATCCAGCCAGAGTGAGGATATCCACCAACTGGAACTTTTAATCACCCGCAACCTGCATTCAGAATGACTGCCAGGGTAGGGAAGATTGAGTAATGAGACTACCTAAATCATCTAAACTTGAACAACCATCTCAGTAACGGGTGCAATAAGTCCAACTACTAACAGATTGGATTAATTTAGAAAAATGTATGTTATCTTTGTGTAGCATAAGATTATTCAACCAGAAAATGTACATGCAAAAACACAGATATTGAAACAAACAATTCAGAAAATCAACCTGCCATAGAGCATAATGGGAAATATGATATTGATGGGTGTGGTTTTGAGTATTTTACTCTACACAGAGTTAAAATGACAAAACCACACTGATTATTTTACACCACTGAGTGTTAAGTTAATTTAACTTCTGAATCAACACAAGAAATGTAAAAAATTTTTTAAAAAAAGGCACATTTGCTGTGTACCACACAATACACTGCTGGTTCACTCATACTCCCCTTTATTCTCCTACTCTCTGCTCAATAAAATCACAGAAAATGCTCATTTGAAAGACAGAAATCATGGCAAAGATATCAATTATGTCAGTACTGTTTATGTAAAATGATTACGGGAATACCAGATAAATGCACAAATATTCCCATATAGGTACATATTCTCACACATATCTGATTAGAGTTATCAGATTACTCAAACTCCTGAAGTTAAAGTTTAAACACTGAGGTAAACACTAATACTCAGGTACGATTTGAAATAAGAAAAATATTTACAATAAGAAAGCTTATTCAGATTCAGAAGGCTTCTATGTAGAACCCTTCTTGCCTTTTAAAGAATCCTTCTTGAATCACAAAGAATGATCAAAAAAGAACCCGTCCTTCCAAAAATGGTTCTTAGGGTGTTTTAATGTTCTAGTTAGAACCCTTTGCCTCGTTACAATTTTGTCTTCCAAAAAGGGTTCTTCAGATGATAATGGTTCTTGGTAGAACCCTATCCCTTCATAGCCTTGGCAGCCGATAGTGGGTGCTAGATCTGCACTATTGTCTAGGATTGATATGCCCAGCTGGTAATACACTCGTGTCCCCCGTGGACCGGATCGCACATAAAGCATCCTCCATTCAGGCTGCAAAGGCATCATTTTCCTCCTTAACTAGCTTTAATGGTGGGCCGTCTGAAAAAAACTGTAAAAATATGTGTACTGTCTTAATAAAACAATATGTTTCACCACCATTTTCGGACAGCTTAGGATGTTGCACACCGCGTTTAGCCAAGTATGTGCAAAATCATGCTGTAAGTTGTCAGAAAATTCAGAAAATGGTGGTGGAAAATTTTGTTTTATTAAGACAGTGCACATATCTTTACCGTTTTTTTCCCGAAGGCCCGACATTAAAGGGAATGGGGATACCAAGTCAGTTGCACAACTGAATACATTCAACCGAAATGTGTTTTCAGCATTTAACCCAACCCCTCTGAGTTAAGGAGGAAAATGATGCCTTTGCAGCCTCAATGGAGGAAGCTTTACAGTTGAAGTCGGAAGTTTATATACACCTTAGCCAAATACATTTAAACTCAGTTTTTCACAATTCCTGACATTTAATCCTAGTAAAAATTCCCTGTCTTAGGTCAGTTAGGATCACCACTTTATTTTAAGAATGTGAAATGTCAGAATAATAGTAGAGAGAATGATTTATTTCAGCTTTTATTTATTTCATCACATTCCCAGTGGGTCAGAAGTTTACATACACTCAATTAGTATTTGGTAGCATGGTCTTTAAATTGTTTAACTTGGGACAAACGTTTCGGGTAGCCTTCCACACGTTTCCCAACAATAAGTGGGTGAATTTTGGCCCATTCCTCCTGACAGAGCTGATGTAACTGAGTCAGGTTTGTAGGCCTCCTTGCTCGCATACGCTTTTTCAGTTCTGCCCACAAATGTTCTATAGGATTGAGGTCAGGGCTTTGTGATGGCCACTCCAATACCTTGACTTTGTTGTCCTTAAGCCATTTTGCCACAACTTTGGAAGTATGCTTGGGGTCATTGTCCATTTGGAAGACCCATTTGCGACCAAGCTTTAACTTCCTGAATAATGTCTTGAGATGTTGCTTCAATATATCCACATAATTTTCCTTCCTCATGATGCCATCTATTTTGTGAAGTGACTAGTCCCTCCTGCAGCAAAGCACCCCCACAGCATGATGCTGCAACCCCCGTGCTTCACGGTTGGGATGGTGTTCTTCGACTTGCAAGCCACCCCCTTTTTCCTCCAAACATAACAATGGTCATTATGGCCAAACAGTTCTATTTTTGTTTCATCAGACCAGAGGACATTTCTCCAAAAAGTACGAACTTTTTCCCCATGTGCAGTTGCAAACCGTAGTCTGGCTTTTTTATGGCGGTTTTGGAGCAGTGGCTTCTTCCTTGCTGAGTGGCCTTTCAGGTTATGTTGATATAGGACTTGTTTTACTGTGGATATACATTGAGGGAAAAAAGTATTTGATCCCCTGCTGATTTTGTACGTTTGCTCACTGACAAAGAAATGATTAGTCTATAATTTTAATGGTAGGTTTATTTGAGCAGTGAGAGATAGAATAACAACAACAAAATCCAGAAAAACGCATGTCAAAAATGTTATAAATTGATTTGCATTTTAATGAGGGAAATAAGTATTTGACCCCCTCTCAATCAGAAAGATTTCTGGCTCCCAGGTGTCTTTTATACAGGTAACGAGCTGAGGTTAGGAGCACACTCTTAAAGGGAGTGCTCCTAATCTCAGTTTGTTACCTGTATAAAAGACACCTGTCCACAGAAGCAATCAATCAATCAGATTCCAAACTCTCCACCATGGCCAAGACCAAAGAGCTCTCCAAGGATGTCAGGGACAAGATTGTAGACCTACACAAGGCTGGAATGGGCTACAAGACCATCGCCAAGCAGCTTGGTGAGAAGGTGAAAACAGTTGGTGCGATTATTCGCAAACGGAAGAAACACAAAAGAACTGTCAATCTCCCTCAGCCTGGGGCTCCATGCAATATCTCACCTCATGGAGTTGCAATGATCATGAGAACGGTGAGGAATCAGCCCAGAACTACACGGGAGGATCTTGTCAATGATCTCAAGGCAGCTGGGACCATAGTCACCAAGAAAACAATTGGTAACACACTACGCCGTGAAGGACTGAAATCCTGCAGTGCCCGCAAGGTCCCCCTGCTCAAGAAAGCACATATACAGGCCCGTCTGAAGTTTGCAAATGAACAACGGAATGATTCAGAGGAGAACTGGGTGAAAGTGTTGTGGTCAGATGAGACCAAAATCGAGCTCTTTGGCATTAACTCAACTCACCGTGTTTGGAGGAGGAGGCATGCTGCCTATGACCCCAAGAACACCATCTCTACCGTCAAACATGGAGGTGGAAACATTATGCTTTGGGGGTGTTTTTCTGCTAAGGGGACAGGACAACTTCACCGCATCAAAGGGACGATGGACGGGGCCATGTACCGTCAAATCTTGGGTGAGAACCTCCTTCCCTCAGCCAGGGCATTGAAAATGGGTCGTGGATGGGTATTCCAGCATGACAATGACCCAAAACACACGGCCAAGGCAACAAAGGAGTGGCTCAAGAAGAAGCACATTCAGGTCCTGGAGTGGCCTAACCAGTCTCCAGACCTTAATCCCATTGAACATCTGTGGAGGGAGCTGAAGGTT